TATATATATATATATATATATATAATATATATATATATATATATATATATATATGTATATATATATATATATATATATATATGTATATATGTATATATATATATATATGTATATATGTATATATATAACCCTCAAGCTCCCAGGCCTCTGGTAGAGAGGGATGGCCAAGGGTGAGTGGACAATTTTTTTTGTATGTATAATATAAATATATATATATAAAATTACATATGTATACATGTATATATTATATATATGAAAATTAACATTAGGGATATTTTTTACGTTCCATATGTGTTTAATGTGCAAACAGCTTACATGACTTTGTTTTAAATGTATTTGAGGGCTTTTATTTTGTTAATTCTCCCGTTAGAAACGTTGACCCGGAAGTTTACATCGGCGTTCTCCTGGCAACACAAAAACCCTTTTCTGCTTCTTTCTCCTCAAAATGGTAAAGTTACTGCTTGATAATTTATTTAAGCATGTATATACGTGTGACATTTACTCTTGTCTCACACTGTCATCTTTATAACTATGATATGTGCTTTAGCACGGCGCTAATGTCATCAATCACAGCTAGCACAGGCTCGGGCGTTGTCACACATCTGCTAAAGCTAGGTCTATATAACATGTTATTTTAGATAGAGCCAGTGTTGCACAAGTTACTCCAAAAACCTAATACATGATGTGTTACTTGTTACTGTTATTTCAAAGTAACGTCTTTCTTCAACTTTACTGTCTCTGATTTGTTAAACATACATTACTGCATCACTTTGAAGTTACTTTCCATACATATGATTATATAAATGTAGCTTATTATACTATTGCGTGTGGTTTGGCACATCACGTGGAATTAACTTATGTTCCACATCTTTGTCTTCAACAAACTCTAAATAATGGGACTCTGTCCATCTGTAAAATGTACTATTGTCCACGTAGTACATGCTTCTACTTCAGCCTCAGCCGTCTTCTACCAGAAAAGAACAACACTTGTAAGCAAATACTATTAGAGCAGATGTGTTTTTCTGCTGTTCTCGGTGCAGAGGACAAAACCAAAAATCAATAGATTACATTATCAGGTTACTTCTTGAACGCGTTACTCCAAACACTGGATAGAACAGTTCATCTAATGTGTTGCTGTAGATGTTTTATTATTGTTGTTGCAGATGGATGTAGCAGCTAGCTTGGCTAATGTTGAGGTGTGATCATTTCTTGTTTTCAGGCTGAAGTGGAGGAAACCCTGAAGAGGATCCAGAGCCAAAAAGGAGTCCAAGGAGTCGTGATCGCCAACTCAGAAGGTTCATATCTAACTTTGATTCTCTGATCTGTTGTTGGCGAATCCACAACGTTTTAAACTTCTCTGAGACGCATGCTGCTGTAATATAGGACACTCAATAAATATACTTTATGATGCATATGAGTCTTATTTAAGATGTTTTGTAGTTCAAACCAGAGTCACACACTTAGTCTTTATAAATAATTGCCACAGAATCAACATATTGATATTGGTATTAAGTATTAGCTCTAGTATCAAAATCAGGTTTGACCTGTGATATTCTGACAACACTGTAAGTATTATTTCAGACTTGGCTTCAGTGTTTTTGTTTTTTTTTCACTAGTATTAAAGACTGCTCATGTGCTCATGCTGCTCTGGAACAATGTGAGCGTTTGTTTTCTCGGCCCAGATCTCAACTGCAGCAAAAACTGCTCATAGATCCACACTATATCAATGGAACGTGTCTATATTTGTATTTCTGTATTTTCACGACCAGAAAAAAATGAACGATTCCATGTTCAGCGATTCCCAAGACAAAACATGTATACAAATCACATCAGTACCTGTTGGCAGCATGAGGGTGTGCGACAAAGTGACTCAGTAAATAAATCATTCCGTTAATGCTTTTAAACTTGTGTATTTAAAGGGATTCCCATCAGGTCGACTCTGGACAACTTGAGCACAGTGCAGTACACAGGTCTGATCCACCAGCTGCTGCTGAAGGCCAGGAGCACGGTGCGAGACATCGACCCCCAGAACGACCTCACCTTCCTCCGAGTTCGCTCCAAGAAGAACGAGATCATGATCGCTCCCGGTAACAGCAGCTAAACATGTGACTAACGTCTGTGTGGGTGTGGTCTCTGAGTGTTCTCTTCTCTCCACAGAGAAAGACTACTTTTTAATTGTGATTCAGAATCCTTCAGACTGAGATGATGCCGGCTGTTGCTCTTCCACATCTTTTTAGAGACTTCAGAATATGAAGGTTAATATATTTATGAACAGGATGTTGTGAGCGCTCTTGCATTCCTAAGTATCGTTGTTTTTTCCTCTATCGCTGCAAAAAGTGATGAGAAAAAAAACAAGATTTGCCAATGGGACAAAGCAAAATGATCTTGTTTTAAACATTTCAAGACATTTTTCCCTTTGAATGAGGGAAAAAAGCAAGTTCTTGAAATAAAACTTAAAGGCTTTGTCCTACTGGAGAATCTTGTTTTGACACTTTCAGATTAAGATTTAAAAAAAACACTTGATTCAAGCAATTATTACCTCATATTTTATCATTTTTTGCAGTGACAAAGCTCATTTTTTCAAGATAAACACAGAAAATTAGTTAATTGTCCATAAAACCCCACATTTGCTCTAATGAAACAGAATAAACTGTTTTCTTTTTATGTTTTTTCTTACTCTCATGTTTTTGTTTAAAGTTTATAAAAGGGTTCTTTTCTTCAGTGTGTTCTTCATATGTATTGATGTTTACAAAGTATGTGTATGTGATTTACAAATAACATGTAAATAACAAGTTAACATATAAATAAAGATTATTTGGATTCAAGCATACGGCATCAGCCTCTGAATAAACAAGTTTCCATTTCCTCGTCACACGGTGAAGGTGGACATCGTTGACCAGATGGTTGGCAGCTACACCTGCAAGAGCCAAACACAGGTGGCCCATGGTGCTGTGGTACAACATGATTGACATCGCCACCCTGAATCAGACATACACACACACTTGTTGTTCTGGGTAAATTTCTTTCTCAAAATGTTAAAAAGTGAAAGATAAAGATATTTCAAACATGAAATCATTTTTGTGTGGTTACAAATATAACCACACAAGTGATTATATTTATACAAGTGATTATTGTTAATCATAATCTAATATAATTGGTGAGATTGTAAACATTTGCCATTCAGCAAACTTCAGTTCTGCCATCGCTACTTTTAAAGCTGAAAACGGCACGAATCCCGTCTAAACCATTGTATCAGCCGAGTTTGTTGCCCCTGAACTGTTTGGACACCTCTGGTATATGGTATCGTCGCCCTCTAGTGGATTATTTCCTCTACTACAACAGGAGTGTGGCCCGCGCCAAACACAATCATGTTATGTGTTTTTTTTTGTATTATTTTTACGGGGCCTTCTTTCACGTTCCATTAATATGTGTTTAATGTGCAAACAGCATAAATGTCTTTGTTATAAATGTATTTGAGGTCTTTTATTTTGTTGATTTTTCCGTTAGCGACGTTAACCCGGAAGTTTACATCTGCGTTCTCCAGGCAACACAAAAAACACTGTTTTGCTTCTTTCTCCTCAAAATGGTAAAATTACTGCTTAATTATGTTTTTAAATATGTAGCTGTATGACTATCTCACACTGTCATCTTTATAACTATGATATGTGCTTTAGCACGGCGCTAATGTCATCAATCACAGCTAGCACAGGCTCGGGCGTTGTCACACATCTGCTAAAGCTAGGTCTATATAACATGTTATTTTAGATAGAGCCAGTGTTGCACAAGTTACTCCAAATACTTCATACATGATGTGTTACTTGTTTCTATAATGTGTTTCTAAATTTTTACTGTCTCTGAATTGCTTTGAAGTTACTTTCCATACACATAAATATATTTATGTAGCTTATGATACAATTGCTTGAGGTTTGGCACAAACCATGGAATAAACTGTTATGTTCCACATCTTTGTCTTCAACAAACTCTAAATAATGGTACTCTGTCCATCTGTAAAATTTACTATTGTCCACGTAGTACCTGCTTCCACTTAAGCCTCAGCCGTCTTCTACCAGAAAAGAACAACACTTCTAGGAAAATATTATCAGAGCAGATGTGTTTTCCTGCTGATCTCGGGGTGTAGAGGATAAAAACAAAACTAATTTTTGTGAAATGTCTTTTTTGCTGTACTGCGTTACAGCAAAAAACAATTGATTACATAATCACATTACTTCTTGAACGCGTTACTCCAAACACTGGATAGAACAGTTCATCTAATGTGTTGCTGTAGATGTTTTATTATTGTTGTTGCAGATGGATGTAGCAGCTAGCTTGGCTAATGTTGAGGTGTGATCATTTCTTGTTTTCAGGCTGAAGTGGAGGAAACCCTGAAGAGGATCCAGAGCCAAAAAGGAGTCCAAGGAGTCGTGATCGCCAACTTCAGAAGGTTCATATCTAACTTTGATTCTCTGATCTGTTGTTGGCGAATCCACAACGTTTTAAACTTCTCTGAGACGCATGCTGCTGGACCACTCAATAAATATACTTTATGATGCATATGAGTCTTATTTAAGATGTTTTGTAGTTCAAACCAGAGTCACACACTTAGTCTTTATAAATAATTGCCACAGAATCAACAATATTGATATTGGTATTAAGTATTAGCTCTAGTATCAAAATCAGGTTTGACCTGTGATATTCTGACAACACTGTAAGTATTATTTCAGACTTGGCTTCAGTGTTTTTGTTTTTTTCACTAGTATTAAAGACTGCTCATGTGCTCATGCTGCTCTGGAACAATGTGAGCGTTTGTTTTCTCGGCCCAGATCTCAACTGCAGCAAAAACTGCTCATAGATCCACACTATATCAATGGAACGTGTCTATATTTGTATTTCTGTATTTTCACGACCAGAAAAAAATGAACGATTCCATGTTCAGCGATTCCCAAGACAAAACATGTATACAAATCACATCAGTACCTGTTGGCAGCATGAGGGTGTGCGACAAAGTGACTCAGTAAATAAATCATTCCGTTAATGCTTTTAAACTTGTGTATTTAAAGGGATTCCCATCAGGTCGACTCTGGACAACTCGAGCACAGTGCAGTACACAGGTCTGATCCACCAGCTGCTGCTGAAGGCCAGGAGCACGGTGCGAGACATCGACCCCCAGAACGACCTCACCTTCCTCCGAGTTCGCTCCAAGAAGAACGAGATCATGATCGCTCCCGGTAACAGCAGCTAAACATGTGACTAACGTCTGTGTGGGTGCGGCCTCTGAGTGTTCTCTTCTCTCCACAGACAAAGACTACTTTTTAATTGTGATTCAGAATCCTTCAGACTGAGATGATGCCGGCTGTTGCTCTTCCACATCTTTTTAGAGACTTCAGAATATGAAGGTTAATATATTTATGAACAGGATGTTGTGAGCGCTCTTGCATTCCTAAGTATCGTTGTTTTTTCCTCTATCGCTGCAAAAAGTGATGAGAAAAAAACAAGATTTGCCAATGGGACAAAGCAAAATGATCTTGTTTTAAACATTTCAAGACATTTTTCCCTTTGAATGAGGGAAAAAAGCAAGTTCTTGAAATAAAACTTAAAGGCTTTGTCCTACTGGAGAATCTTGTTTAGACACTTTCAGATTAAGATTTAAAAAAAACACTTGATTCAAGCAATTATTACCTCATATTTTATCATTTTTTGCAGTGACGAAGCTCATTCTTTCAAGATAAACACAGAAAATTAGTTAATTGTCCATAAAACCCCACATTTGCTCTAATGAAACAGAATAAACTGTTTTCTTTTGATGCTTTTCTCCCACTTTCATGCTTTTGTTTCAAGTTTATAAGAGGGTTCTTTTCTTCAATGTGTTCTTCATATAGATAGATAGATACTTTATAGATCCCGTCGGAGAAATTCAGGTGTCCAGTAGCAGCAAAAAGCTAACAATAGTAATAATCAGCAACACCTTTCAGGTCACAGCAGCAGAGGTGGAGTAGCCTCTGGGTCAGGGGTCACCAACGCGGTGCCCGCGGGCACCAGGTCGCCCGCAAGGACCAGATGAGTCGCCCGCTGGCCTGTTCTAAAAATAGCTCAAATGGCAGCACTTACCAGTGCTATTCTTGTTTAAATCATACTTACATGCAACTTACAAATGGCATATAAACTAGAGCCGGGACTTTAACAAGTTAATAAAGATTAATTAATTACACACAAAACGGACCAATTGAACTGACGCACCAACCGGAGCTCCGTGACTTTTCTTGTTCAAAAGTACATTATTACAAGCAGAGACCAACTTTAAATTCGAGTAAATTAGACGGGAATGAGCGCTGTGTATGGAGCGATGGACTCTGTGTGTGAGGAGGAGGAGCAGTGACTCCTGTGTGAGCGGAGGAGGAGGAGGAGGAGAAGAAGGAGGAGCGAGACACAGGTGTGTGAGCTGCTAATGCTGATGTTTACTCCGAATGCACACATCAAAAACGTATTATAAAAGCTTTAGCAAACAGCGCATGCCCAGCTTTAGTGCTCACAGCGTGTGCAGTGGATTTTGGGCTTAAAAAGAGTATGTTGTCGTCAGTGTGTGGAGGAGGAGGAGGAGGAGCATATGTTGTTGTCAGAGTGTGGAGGCAATGACAGAAACGTTATTTGATGTTTAGAAGTTATCCCTTAAACTCCATATTAACATGTGTTGCTTAAGCCTCATGTATTCAGTCATTATTCAATGGTAAACTAAAAATCCATGTGAAAAAAATTACTTCTCACTGTTCTCAGGTCAAATATTTATATGCGATTAAAATGTGATTAATTGCGATTAAATGGGACTGTCTTAGAAGTGATCATTTGTTAAATTTGAAAAATGTGCACTTAGAGAAAATATAAAAGTTTTTCCACAAAATAAATATCATTAATTATTAGTAAAAACATAGAATTAAAGGTAAATTGAGCAAATTGGCCATATCTGGCAATTTATTTAAGTGTGTAACAAACTGGTAGCCCTTCGCATTAATCAGTACCCAAGAAGTAGCTCTTGGTTTCAAAAAGGTTGGTGACCCCTGCTCTGGGTGGAGTAGGACGGGTCACAGCAGCAGAGGTGGAGTAGACTGGGTGGATCAGGACGGGTCACAGCAGCAGAGGTGGAGTAGACTGGGTGGATCAGGGCGCTTGTTTCGGACCACTTTCTCTGCTCTTGTCCGAAGTAGAATGCTAAATGCTTCATTAGCGTTTTTCAAAAAGTTATCATTCCTCCAGTGTATTTTCAACTGATCTGCTTGGTGATCCGTAAAACAATCAGTGTGTGAATTTATTCATTAGTAAATGTGACATGTGCGCGCAGTGACCGCGCAGGACGGCGCGTAGTTGCGGGGCTTAAAGGCCCTAGGAACGTCGCGGCTGGGATGTGCCCACTCTCACCGCAGGTGCCCGGCGGCGACCTGTGGTTGGCAAGTGCTGATGAGACTGCGGCTCGGTCCCAGGACAGAGAAGGACCAGTTGGCGGCGACGAGTGGACTGTGGGCTTTTATCTTTTTAAAGGATCCCTTCTGTATATATTTTATTACATTTGTATCCCATTTTAACCCCTTTTTGCCTTTTATTGATCACACCCCCTAAACAGAAACTTGTGACATAAATCTACGTGTGTGTGTGTAATATACCGTACATGTATATTGAAGTTTATATGTTTTGTTTGTTTTCAACGCTGTTAATAATTCTCCACCCTTAGCGCCCCCTGCTGGTTATTTTTCAAAATACACCCCAGCGTCTGAAGTTCGCTTCTCAAGTTAAAGGCGGTGAATGAGTCTGTCTATGTGTAGATCTGAGCCGCAAATGTGGAACATCTGTAAGAACTCTAATGTGGTCGCAGGACAATGACTGGTGAACCATAATGTATTTAATTGAACCATTGATCTGTAAATAAAAGCTTGTTTGGACCATAGTCCGTAGGACCAAGTTCTGTGTCTTTAAATCCTCCGCATGACGTCATAGGGTCGAGGCTTTGTTCAGAAGCTGTTTGGGTCCAGAGTGTTTACAGAGAGACCAGAGGAACCAGAGGACCTTCACCCGGGTCTAACAGAGACACTACAGTAGACATTACCCCGTGTGGTTGAACATGCCGTCGGATAGACCGTTCAAACAAAGGAGGACATTTGGTAAGACTCTGTGGGCTTTAGCTTTAGCTCCAATCTGCGTTAGCATTTTAAGCTAGCTGGCCTGCTAGCCTCTTATTTACTTTTTTTGTTACGTATAACACTCTATACCTTGCGAATGACTGTAAAACATACATTATCTGTTCGTATTACTCTGGTTTATCCACCGTTTGGAATCAACTATGACTTGTTTTTATGTGTCGTCTATAAATATATTTGTAAATGTGAGCAGATGTAACTATAGTTATGTCATAGTATGATATAAAATATCCATAATAAGTTTAGCAGTATTGATAGGTTACAATCTTTGTTTAGCCTGCCTATGTTTACATACATATGTAGCGATAAGAGTTGGTATATATAAATGTGTTATAAATGTTAAATGTCAGTGTGAGCTGTTGTCATTGGACACCAGTAGACAAACAGAGAGGCTTTTACTAATGAATACTGTCTTTAGTCTACTATAAAATAGATTCAAATTATTGTACTTAACACACTGTATTAAGCGTTTATTTGTTTTTATGTTTTTTGTGTATATGTGTTTACATGTATCAACAGACACATAATTAGCACCAGGTTTGAAAAGAGGTTGAATGAAGGAAATGCTTATTTGTATTTCAACCCCCATCACACAGGGATACATAATAAACCCCACACACGGGGCAGTGGGTTGGGCCACACTCTCATTACAATAGTTAAAATGATTGACCAAGTTAAACAAACATTATTCAACCATTATTCCCTAAATCAGCCATTCCCAAAGTCAGCAAGACCGCGGCCCCCTTAAAAATCTGACGGGTCTTCGCGGCCCCCCGAAATAATAACCAAGACGACACGTTAAAAATAGGCTCTTCTCGTCATTTTATTTGGAGGACATAACCTCTGCTACAACCGTTTTGTAAAACAAAAGTTATTACAATTAGATTATTCAAGTAAAATAATGAACATAAAATATGAACAGACCAAGTAAAATTTAATTCAGGCCCTTCCAGCGCACAATGAACCATGACATGAGCACACAAACGCTCTCAAAATCAAACAGATAAAAAAGGCCAGCACAAATGCATATTAATCAAGGAAAAATATTCGTTCAATACAATAGTTTAGCCACCTAATGAGACGGATGGTGTTGCATAGCGGATGCTAAAGCCCCAATATTGGGTTGAATGGTGGTCAGCTTTAAGCGGAGATCAGAGGTGACATCCAGTCTGTTCCTGTACTTGGTTTTTAATGCAACTAGGGATGAAAATCCAGTCTCACAGAGATACGTGGTGGAAAATGGCATGAGGAAACGAATGGCTTTGTCAGCCAAATGTGGATATTCTTTGAAAACGCGTATCCAGAAGCGCACCAAGTGAGTCTGCGTAAATTCCAGTTTCAATGAGCTATCACAAGATAGTTCCACGAGGCTGTCCTGCTCTCTTGAAGAAAGTCCTGCTGCGTCCTGAGCCTGGATAACAAATGGGTTTTCTATCCAGTTGTTCATGTTGTCTTGTGCAGGGAAATACTTGCGAAGCTGGGTTCCGAGGGCCTGCAGGTGCGCGCTGACAGCGCTTGCCACCGACCTGGGAATCTCACTCTCTTCGCTGCCCAACAAGTCCGACAAGCTGTCCAGGGACTCAAAGTTATTTTGTCCAACTCTGCGATCCCACATCTCAAACTTTTTAATTGTGGCATCAATCTTATTCTGCACTTGAAACACAGTCACTGTTTTCCCCTGTAGTGACAGGTTGAGTCCATTTAAGTATCCAAAAATGTCAGCCAAATAAGCCAACTTGCAGAGCCATTCAAAGTCGCAGAATCGCTCGGCCAACTCAAAACGAACGTCCACAAAGAAGACTCTGACTTCATCGCGCAGTTCGTAAAGGCGCGTGAGCACTTTGCCGCGTGAGAGCCACCGGACCTCTGTGTGAAGGAGAAGCTGTCCGTGTTCGCTCCCCATCTCCGCGCACAGGATCCCAAACAAGCGGGACTGCAGGGGACGACTTTTGATGAAATTGACAGTTTTTACAGCTTCATTCAACACCTTATTTAAGTCTGCAGACATCGTCTTTGTGGCCAGAGCCTCACGGTGGATGCTGCAGTGGACAGCTGTCAGCAGTGGGGGCCACATCCTTCACTCGTTTGACTACTCCGGTTAGTCGTCCCACCATGGCTCTGGCTCCGTCTGTGCTTAGTCCCACACACTTTGCCCAGTCGATTTCATTTGAAACTATAAAATCATTGATCGCTTCAAATACGGCCTCTCCAGTCGTGTTTGATGGTAAGGGTTTGCAAAACAAAAAATCTTCATGTATGTCCCCCCATCATGTTCGTACCTTACAAAAGCAAGCAAATTGGCCAAGGCTGCTATATCCGTGGACTCGTCGATTTGTATTGCATAAAAACGGCTTTCTTTGATTCTGGTGACAAGCTGATTTAACACGTCTTCAGCCATGTCATCGATGCGGCGCTTCACTGTATTATCAGACAATGATATCACGTTTAGTTTGTTTGCTGCATTTTCACCAATCACCATGTTCACCATTTCTTTAGCAGCAGGTAGAATGAGGTCCTCTCCTATTGTGTGCGGTTTGCCAGTTTGCGCAATTAACTTTGACACTCTGTATGAGGCCTCCACGGCCCTGGCATACTCTCCCCCGGTCACACACGTTGATTCAATAGCCTTCTTGCGTTGCGTATATTCTCGTAATTTGTTTTCAAAAAACTCCCTTGGCTTTGATAAAAACTGTCCATGCTTGGTCTCCAAATGACGACGAAGTTTACAAGGTTTCAGGGCCTCATTGGCGAGGACCTCTGAGCAGATGACACAGACGGGCCGTGGGTTGTCCTCGTGTCCCATAGTGGTAAAACCGAGTGCCAAATACTCACTCAAATATTTACGTCGTTTCCTTGATTTGTAATTTGAGTGTTGATTTCCATCTCGATCTTGATCCTGACTTACATCAGAAGCAGCAGGCTGAGTTTTATTCAGTAGCCACCGATCCATAACATCCATTTCCCGCTGCAAACCTCTTCCACACATATTATCCCCCCCTCCAATAAAAAAATAGATATAGAACGTTCCGGCCTACGAGAGTAATGTTTAATGATTGTAGCATAGCAAAATCATTAAACATCGGACACAAATATTTTAATATTACAAACAATATATAATTAATTTAACATACAATAATGAAGACACTTTTTTTTTTACTGACCTCTCGCGGCCCCCCTGCAATACCCTCGCGGCCCCCCAGGGGGCCGCGGACCCCACTTTGGGAGACACTGCCCTAAATCCCCCTGAGCTGCTGTTGCAACTCAATGTTAAACTGTTTTCTTCATGTGGGAAAACATCAACAACAGATTAACAAATTATGGTTTCCTTCATCAGAAACCAGTGCAGGATCTGTCTTGTAGAGACAGACGCGTCCTATGGTACTTGCATCTTTATGGTGTCCTATGGTACTTGTGTTTTATCTATGGTGTCTGATGTTACTTGTATTTTTATGTTGTTCTATGGTACTCATATTTTTTGGTATCCTATGGCAGTTTATATTAAATAAATGTAACTTTTTCATTCAGCTGATCGGTGCAAGGAGGTTCAGCAAATCCGAGAGCAGCATCCAAACAAGATCCCCGTAAGTAACAAATACATTCTTTGTGCCTAAGCAGGGCAGGGGCTGGTTCGTACTGTGATGGGAGACCTCTAGGAACACCAGGTGCCACAGTGGGGCGGCTGTAAAGTGCCAAACTGGTTGTGTCCTTATGCAAGACACTTTCCCCTCAAGATTCAAGATTCAAGATTAATTTATTATGTCCCGTAGGAAATTTGTCTTGGACTCACAGGCTGCTACATTGAAAATACACATAAGACAGAGATAAAACACAACACAGTAACACCGACATAAACCATCACCGCTCTGCTCGATGGCCTGCATTCAGGAGGTTCACAGATATGGGTAGGAATGAGTTCTTATACCGGTTTAGATATCGTTTCTTATTTCTAGTGGGTACTCTGTAGCAGCGGCCTGATGGGAGGAGCTCATATTGAGAGTGGAGGACATGGGAGGGGTCTGAGGTGATTTTCCTGGCCTGTCTAATTACAGTCTCCTCAAATATCTGTTGCAGAGAGGGATGCTCCCTCACTCCCATGACTTTAAAGGCTGTGCGCACTAATCATCCCTGCGCTGTGCGCACCCTCATAACTTGAGTGCCTTCAGGGCACATACTTGCGCCCGGTGTTTCATGTTTTCTTTCATTATGGCGCGGCTTAGTCTGACAGCTACTTTACCAACTATCCTAATGCATCACGGGATCACCCTCACGCGCAAGTGAGCTCCGGAGGAGAGGGGTCTTTTTAAGGGTGTGAGTGCCCTCACCTCTGCTTCCTAAGTATTGGGACACCCTCAAGGGCACGCACAAAATCTAGGGCAAGGGTACATTAGGGTGAGAATAATTTATCAGCATTTACATAGTGAAAGAATAATGACAAATGTGTAATAATGTGAAGCGTCTTTGAGAGTCCAGAAAAGTGCTGTTTAAAACCCATATATTATTTCTTCTTAATCATTACATTGTTTCAAGTGAATGTCTCCTTCCCATGTGTCCAGGTGATCATTGAGAGATATAAGGGCGAGAAGCAGCTTCCAGTTCTGGACAAGACAAAATTCTTGGTTCCAGATCACGTGAACATGAGTGAGCTGGTCAAGATCATCAGGTGAAGTGACTGCTGGTACTGTTGTTGTGACCATGTGAGAATTCTGTGCTCAGATAGTGTTACAGACCATTCTGACTCCTGTACATTTTACACCATCACCGCATGAACATGCAGAGCAAAGGGAATGAGATTGAGGCCCTGTTTATACTGAGACGCTGCGCAGACGTTTCCAGGCTAACAGAAATGACCAGGCTCCTAATGCAAATTTCTCTGCGTTCACATGAGGTTGAAAAACGATGTAGTTCTAGCGCCCGGCCAGTAGTGGGCAGATAAACTTTACAACACGACCCCCAGCCCCCCTCCCGGCAGTGTACTCACTTCCTGTGCCAGACCCTCAGTAAGCACCAACATCATTCTGCATTTTAACAGCAGCTGTGAACATGGGAACTGAACCTAGAGCTTCGCATGGTCTAACGAAGGAGTAGAATTATCCTCTGTCCCGCGCTGGAAGCCCACGTAGATAGTTAGTGCGCGCGCTATTGTTTTTTTTGTTTGTTCTCCGCTACTGCGCATGTCCAAATTTACGTGCGGGGAGCAGCTCGGAGGTGGGGGTCAGAGCAGAGGGGGATTTCACACCTTTCCCCTCTCGCGGGTGTGAAAGAACTACCTGCTGTGCAGCGTTTTTGAATTGTCCCACTCTGCAGGCTGGATCTGAACACTTACGTTTTCACCCCCCTGGAACACTGTCTTCGTATGAACGGTTGGTAGCAACCGACATCCAACTATACCGTTTTACTGCCACATTGTCTCCGTGTAAACTCAGCCTAAGAGATCCTTTAATATCCCACAGTGATAAAATTCCAGTGTTGCATAACCAGTTACAGAATAGTAGCAAAGAGGAGCTCCATTGTGATGTTGTTTCTTGTCCTGCTTCTTGTGGGAAGGAGAGGTTCTTGCTGCTGTCGGACTGTACAACGACAACTGCTGAATCTGTACATGTGCCATTCACTTGCTCTGATCCACTAGTCACTTAACCTGCTGCTAATGTTACTATTGTTTATTCTGCTCATATTTTCTGCTGCTGAAGTACAATATTAACATCAGTAAATACCTCCTGCTATCTACAGTGAGTGCTTCAAACATGACTGATCCTTGAACCAAGTGACATCACAGCTCCAGACTTTATTAGGCCCAAGCCCCGAACGGGGAAAGGGCCTATTGTTTTTGGTCGAGAGATGTCAAGATCTGCACTTTGAGCCTTAATTTCACCCCCTGAACATGCATGAAAAGTTGTAACATTTTGCCCAAACATCAGACCTGGGGAAAAATGTGATATTTTGGTGTTTATTTTTATGGGACTCAAAAAATGGCAGAACAGCACCACCTACAACAGCCAAAGGGACTTTTCGGAGGTCAAGTTTGTCGTTGAGCCATGAAATTCGGCACACATATTCCTCAAGTCAGGACATGAAAAAAAATATTATTATGGCCCCGCCCTCTGACAAACAGTATATCCACAGGTTCACGGGTTGTGGTGAGTGGCTGCGGCGTGGTGCGGGAAGTTGTAGCGGCGCAGCGAGTCTCGCGGTGCGGGGAGTTGCGCGGTGCGGCGAGGACCGTTTGACGCCGCTTGCGGCTTTAATCTTATCTTATGATTGTATTCTCTATGATTTAAAATATTAGATCCTGTTTGATGTGTGTATAACCCAAGTCTTCTTTCTCCTTTTACTCTGCAATGACATTAAAATTCTCAGGAAAACTAAAATCGAATAAGAAGTTAGCTAAAATAATAACGATTAGGTAATTATCAGTCTTCCAATACATCTCTTACTGATGTTTGCCCCAGTTGTGGTTGAATCCATGTCAAATACTCGAGATAAAGCAAAAATATGTAAAAAGAAAAATAGATTCCACTTTTATACTTCTGGCACAGAGTTCTTGTGTTTTCAAATTTGGCCCCACCCAGACTGAGTGTGATACCTGTGCTATACCCCTGTCCTTGTGCTCCCTGCTGTGCCTCAGACGTCGCTTGCAGCTGAACCCCACACAGGCCTTCTTCTTGCTGGTGAACCAACACAGCATGGTGTCTGTGTCCACCTCCATCTCTGAGATCTACGAGCAAGAGCGGGACGAGGACGGCTTCCTCTACATGGTCTACGCTTCGCAGGAGACCTTCGGCTGCTAGAGTCCACTACATCCAACCCCTTAACCTGATCTGTCCACTGTGGTCCGCTCTGGAAGCTTCCATCCAGTTTCAACCTAAGCCTTCTCCGTGTGCTTTTGGTCTGGAAGTACACCGTAACACTAAGATCCAGAATCATGCTTCTACTGGCTGTTATTTTATCTTGCACTAACGTTTGCTCCAAGTGTGAAACTAGGCATAAAAACAACAGTCACTAATAGATATTTTTTAAAGCGCGTTGACATAAAAAATGTGTGTGTTATAAAGGGCATAATTACCCAGTCGTTTTAATGACTTTTACTATGATTGTGTGACATCTTTTTAGTTCTTCAGATTTTTGTAAACTTTTCTATGTTTGCTTTTTGTTGTAGATTTAAATGTTTTTCAGCCTGGAGTGTAGTTGCTTCTTGGTAAACTGACAATCAGGCGTAGACAGAATGACTACAATCCTGATTTTATATATATATATATATATATATATATAATCTCCATTTTTGTGCAATATTAGAGGCCTCACACCTCAGCACAGTCGCCACCTGTAACTCTTTCACTACATTTAAAACCACAAAGGGACATTAGAGCTCGCGCCCTCAGACACTTGCTGCTGACACTGGACCGGATCCCGTCGCCTTCAGAGCACACTTCACCTTATTCTCTCGCCCTCAGTCACAGGAGGCAGAGGGAGGTTCATATTCTGCATTTTATCAGTTTTTGCAGTGATTCTAATTTCTTTGCACTGAGCACAACTCCTCTTCCTGTGTCTGAGATCTGTAACATTAGTCCTAGATGCACAGATAAGAGCTTTGATGTAAAAGTATTTACTGTAGAAAATTAGCTTCTTTGCACATTAAAGGATGTTTTAATTTACTCTCTCAGTACTTCATGGGTTAAAGTTGAAAAAATTCCTGAGCCTGAACCATCTATATGAATCATAGAATGATCACTAATAAGCGTTTTTTATAAGCGGCCAGGGGTTAAAGCAAAAAAAAAAAGATTTGACTGAAAAATTTCTCATGGAAATATAATGAATTACAGATCAAACGACTTTTAAATTTAAACTGGTGTATTTTGATGTGAAATTACAACCAGTGGATCAAGCAACTTGTCAACTCTTTGACAGAATATTAGTGAGAGTAGTTCATCTGCATCATTGGCTTTACTTGAGGCGAGATGAGGCGTCCTTTGGCTCTGTCCTCGTCAAAATATCGCAAAAGGACATTCAAAATTCTGTCCACATTTGTTTGTGGACACTCAATGTTTAAGAAAAAGGTTTCCCTATCAACTTGGTGCTAGTGCACAGCGCAGTTTTATCAACTGCAAATGATTAATGATAATTAAATCTACCAGCGGTAGTGATGGTTCTGAACGACTTTTTTCTGCGATAAAGCCACAGACTCTTAGTTTTAGGTCACAGACACAGTCCACCAGAGCAAGCCTAGTCTCAGTTGTCGCTGAATCTGATGCACCAGGTAAAGAAGTGTGGGAAAGTGCACGGACAGCTGCCAAGTGCGCAGTTTTGAGCTGGTGGTGAATCCAAAGCTGTTTTCTCATTACTCCCATATAAAAAAATAATAATAGTGAAGTACGAACAAGCACCGGACACCTTCATCTTTTTGCACCAGGAAGCAACAGAATCCCATCGTCTCCACCTCATCCAGCCATGCCCACCTCCATTTATTTTTCACTGTTATCAACAGCAACTTATACAGCTCCTTCTTCCATAAACAACGATCCATGATTGTGATTGTGCGTGAATGCTAGGCTAGCTTTGATGAATGAATATAAGACCTGCTAACACACACCTTTCTTCAGCGAGTTTCTTCCGTTCGCTCTCGTTGATTGGCTCTTTTTATCACGCAGTTTTGCATGCGGATCGCCACCAAGATATTATCAAAAGCTCACCAAGACATGCTTGTCCCCATTCCCAGTCACAGCAAAGTACATATTGTACATTCCGTTAAATAAAAAAGCATTGCGTTTGGTAAACGTTAATTATGTCCTACCTTTCCTCTGATAACGCGCCTAGCTTACCGGTCCGCGGGCTGCTGGCTGTTATTGCTCCGTTCGGGATTACATTTTCCTTGTCCTCTTCTCCTTTTCAAAAGCTCCGTGCACTTTTCAGAAACTTTCACCTCCGTGTTACCATCGCTAACTTGGCTACGTCCCATTGCCTTGAATCATTTACGGAGCGCTCATGTAGCTAGCCACGGCACGTTCAAGGCCCACTCGTGATTATATTACTTTTTATTTCTATATACATATAAATACAATTATATTCAAATTATTAATATATATCTAGATATATACAGCAGATTCACACGTATTACTATATATTTTGTTATAATTAACCATTTCATTGTGTGTATTATATTATTATATATTTTGTTTGTTTTTTCAGACCAATTTCATTTGACGGAAATCCGTCACTTAGACGGAACTCTTTAATCCCTGCGCTATACACATGCAATCCTTTCATACAATTGGTAGAACACACTTGAACCTTTTTCAAATGACAGCAATCATTATTTATTTATATATATATTAAAAAAAAAAAAAGTGATGTTTTTTTTTTTTTTTTTCTCACGCCGGATTTCCGGCACGGTGCCGGAAAACTTTAAGCCCTGGTACTTTAATATTTTTTCTGTATTCCGTCGACATGTGATCGTCAGATGGATCCTGTTAAAGGCAACTCCCAAATCAAAAACTGAAACGGTCCAATTCTAAAACTGTACATGTTTTAAGCTTCTGACACTTGTTCTGTAAATATAGTAAATGCATTACTTTACGCATTTGCCAATAAAAAAAGCTTCCTTTAAATTGGTATTGAACAGTTATATTTGATTCAAATGTTTTTTGGTTCCAAAACAAACTGAGAAAAGAGACTTTAAAAATGTTAGTTTAATATTTCATAGGATGTTTTGCTCTGTATAAAACTTAATGATACAGTTCATCTTCACACAAACTGAAGTCTCCTCCCATTCAAGTCTTTTACATAACCCTTGTGTTATCCTCGAAATGACTCGCCACAAATTGAAAGAACACTCTCCATTAGTCCATCAATGAACTAGGGTCAAGTTAGGGAAAGTCTTCCAAATTCAGCTCAAAGATATTTTTAGGACATTTTGTAATCCGTGTTAGACCCGAGGAGAGCACAAGGTTTCTACACCAGGGGTCTCCAACCTTTTCTCTTGGGAGACTTTTCAAGACTGGCAACATTATGTCAGCTGTTCTTTTAGACAGTAAATTGGAGTAAGTAATTTTTATCTTGATTTGAAAACAGTTCTTAAAAACAATGGAACACTCAGATTTCTTTATTTCCAGCACAGATAAAGCAAATTGATCATGTGTTTAATATGAATCTAGTTTAAGGCCAACACAATGTTCACGGATCAACTACTTTTTGGCATTTTTGGTTGTTCAGCGTTATACCAATAAAAGATCATAATCACTTTACCGATTTGAAGAGGATGGTGAGCTACTGGTAGCTGGTTGGAGACCCATGTTTTGCACCTATTGACATGAATCCAGTGAAAGTCGTACTTAAAAACAGACGTAATACGGAGGCATGCACGGTCTCTTTTGTTCCTTCCAGCTGCACGCAGACACACACACATACACACATCAACCTCCGTGTGAATCAGAGTTCTGCGCTTTTACACAAACGGCCATTTTGATCGAAGTCACAGTGAGACAGGAGTTCAGGTTTACGCCATGCTGAAAGAGAAAGAAAAAAAAATTGTAGCAAACATTTGGCCCAGTTATCCTCAACACAGACCAAGTCTTACCTGTCAATCAGCGAGTCCCTCATGGTGGTGGCGATGGCTGAAGGCTGCGCAGAGTCACTGAGTCTGAACACACTCTCGATGACTGACAGCTCTGTGCTGGTGGTGTCCAGGCCACAGAACGCACACCAGTCGTTCACCACCATCCCACCGGCGATCACCTCACTGCCTCGGTTCACCGTCCCCGCCTGAGAGACACATCTGTTTAACTGCATTATCGTCCATGATATGTACTACTTTTTTATAACTAGCCTTAATCACTGTAAATTATAATAAACATCACTCGTCTGCTTTACCGAAGCTGTCATTTTGTGCAATTTTGAGGAATCCCTTTAAAACGAGACCCTCCATCCTTATCCTCCAAACAAAATAAAACAAGAAATGTTCAAAATAATGCAAATCAACATGGTACAATGTTTGAAACAAAGGAAATTAGTCAAAACAAACAGAGGCATCAAGTTGTTTGCAGAAAAATGCAAGACTCATCCACATGACTCATGAGCCACAAGAAGAAAAAACATGTAGGACCCAAAAAGGAAAGACAAAAAGAGTCCCAGAAATTATTTTTAACCCTTGTGCTTTTCTTGGGTCAAGTTAATAAAAAAAATATCTTGCATATTTCTATATTTAGGTCTTATATATAGAAAAAGATAAATTCCCAGCCCTGATTAATGAATCCATCCATCCATCCTCACAGTTGAGATAAGCTGCTCAGGGGCACACTGACAGAAGTGAGGCAACCAGTCTGCCATCACCCTCTCCCACCAATACCAACCATTCACACACAAGACTTATTCTAATGTGGGGGAAGTGTCTTGCCTAAGGACACAACCAGTGTCCAGCAAGTATTATTCTATAATATATAAAGTGCACTTATTCAGAGTCTAAGCCACTTCTAATGACTGCTCAGTCTCACTCACCACCAGAGGGACCTGCAGGAGGGAGGAGAGCTCGTCCTGATCCTCTATCGAGGTCTTGGGATGTACTAGGCCTCCTTGGTTACTGAAGGTGCAGTAGGAGCCGACCAGCACCTGCTCAGCCACAGTCTGTCGGAACACTTCCACCTTTAACGAATCTGCCAGGATCTCTTCTGTTTCCTGAGACAAACAACATTTACATTTCACTGTAAAGATTCTCAGGTTCTTATGGTCAGAGAAGACACGAGGCATTTCTCACTCTGTCAAGGTCGGGATGAACCAGAGCCACGTAGTCGTTGCAGGCAATGACATTCCCCAGAGCAGACAGCCGCTCCTCCACTCTCTGGATCCTCACTGTGTCTGGGAGACAGTTCCGGATGTGCTGCAGCTCCTGGTCTGTCGTGTTGTTAGGAACCAGGAGGCCGTGGCGATTTCCTACAGAAGGTACTGGTTCAGGATCATCTGTCCCTTATGGACCAACGGCTCTGTGTGTGCTTTCATTGTATTTACTGTGTTTGTACTGTTTGATTCTCTGATCTGCGTTGGTGAATCAACAGCTTTGTAAAGTCCTCTGAGATAACTACTATTTTGATTTAGGGCGATACAAAAATAAATGGATTTAAATAAATGATAATAATTTACTATTATTTATTTTTGTGCAGGAAGTGATAGATGGAACTCATACAAGGAAAACACAATTGAAAACACTGCTACTGTATGAATCTATGTCCGTATGGTACTTTGAAACTCTAATGGAAACAAATAAGTACTTTTAAAAAACTTCAAACTTACCAACACACATTCTGCCAATGATGCGACAGCCTGCGATGGAAGCGTGGACGACTGGGATGGTCTCTGACAGTTCCCCTTCAAACACACTGAGCACAATCACAAACATTAATACATGAACTGAGCTCTAACAGCTGTCAGAGTAAAGATGTTAAAACTACATCAGCTAAAGAAAAACAGACTATTCATAATGATTATGAAACTGCAAGAACTCCCAGAATTCTGAGAAGATGGCCTCAAAATGTTTCTGACAGGTATTAAATGGGAGTAATCTATACGGGTTTTATTTTACGTTTCCTCAATTTTACTAGGCAAAAAGCAGTTTGTTGAAAAGCTACCAGATGTCAAGTGTAGCAAGTTAAGATTATGTTGCTATGGTAACTAGTACTGGCTCTACTCTGGGAGGTAAAGATAGAACGACTCTCAGATCATAAATTTAGAGACAGTTATTAAGACCAAACATGTCAAGTTATTACACATACAAAACCAAAAGCCATCAAACTGACTGCTTTGAGAGTGCTAGGGCTAAATCTGTGTTTATTTAATACCAAAATATACCTGTAGAATGTCTCTGCTCCTCCGATAGCTACCAGACAGTACGAGTTGGTTAGCTTCGCAAAACACCCGATTTCATTGTTTTTCTCAAAGGCAGCTCTGACGGCCATGACGAGAAGAGGTTACGGTTTCTGACAGGAGAGAGAGCAGATTAAGTACAAAGAAATAAGAGAAATAATACTGTTTAGACAAGAGTGGACTATGCTAACTGTGGCTATGCTAACAGTGAAAACAGAAAAAGATCGCTTGAAACCAAAAGTTCAAAATTAAATACAGGTACACGTTATTCACGTTGTTTTTTATTTATCACTGAATAACTACGACAAAAGATAAAGACTAACCCAAGTGAGATGAGTGAAGTGTTTGGCCTCTGAACATGCGAACCTTCCAACACACGTGTCCACTTCCGCACCGCAGCTAACGCGATGACGTAAGGCGTACACCCCTCAATCTAAATCCTTCTTGTTTTCAAAATAATTCAACTGTATCAATATACGGAACACACTCAGCCTTCACATCACTTGAAACATTCTCAATTTAAATCCATTTACTGTGTGTACTGTGCATTGAGATTGAGATACTTTATGCGTACCACAATGGGAAAATTTCAGTGTTGCATTTTTTATTTATTGTTTATTTATTTGTGTTTATTTGAACATTAAATTTATAAGAAAAAAGACAGTAAGAACAAAACAAAAACAAAAAAACGTATTCACGTTCAAAAGGAGTAGGAAGAAGCCAAAGCTTATTAAATCCTACCCTCAACTTGCATCGCTAGTTGAACAGTCGGAATGTAGGATATGCCACATCAACGCACGTAATGCATCGGCAGTGGGAACACAGCTTCAAACCCTGCATAGTAACCAGGGTCTGCATCCTCACTGCGTCCTCCAGCTCTTAATTGTCTCTTTGGACCAATCACAGCGTCTCTCAGTATGACGTCATGTATGTTGACACGTTACCATAGACTGTACTAATGGATCCATAATAATATGTTTTCCGTTTACTGTACTTTACAATCCTTACCCACGGGAGAGGCGGAAGGGGAAATCCAAGATATGCTCATAAACAGGAGGTGTCACTTCTACAGACCGGAATAGAAACATTCGATCTATTTATTGCGAAGGGAAAGTGGAATGCTGTTGTTGTTCTTGTACTGTCTGGTAAAACAGGTATACAGGACGTTCGATGACAGACACATATCGTTTATGGTTTTATAAAGATCTTTGACGTCTGCCATTGGAGGAGCTGGTGCTGTCGCTTCAGACGGGGTAATCTAGGTGGGCTCTAACCACTGACTCTAAGCTCAACATAATATAATACATCAGATACAATACAGCTATGACTTGAGCCTCATTATGACTGTATATATTCTGTAAACAACATGAGTCAGAGATAAGATCAACCTTTATTCTAATCTCCTCACAGTGGAAATTTCAATGTCGTCGTTGCACCTTACATCAGAATACAGGGAGAAAATAAGACTCAGGTGATGCACACATCAAACAGGATCCATTATTTAAGATGAATGTGTGAGAGTTTGAGTTTCGGAGTCACAGTGACATGTGTACAGTGGATGAACTAATTATTTTTGTTATGTATTATTCCTGTCTGGTCTGGGTGGATTAGTAATAGGGTGACTGATTCGAGGCAAATTGGTAGTGCATTACTTATTATTTTTAGGTCTGTATTTAGGTGTGATAATGGAGTGTCTGGTTTCAAGATTACAGGTTTTGCCGCTGTATACATATATTTTGGAATAAGATGTGTTTTTTGTTTCATTGATGATGACAGTGTCCAGACATTTGTGTAGAACTCTGCAGGATACCCGTGTGGTCCAGCAGATGCATTGTTTGGCATTAGTATGAGGGCTTTGTGGAGGTCAATTAATGTTATTGAGGCTTCTAGGGTATGTCATAGATCAGTAGGGGTCTTGGGGTAGTGTTAGATTAAAAAAAAAAAAACATGTATTACTTAGTTCCTGTTTGTTTGTTTCAGTTGGATTTCATGTTACTGTATAAACTTGTACTTCTAATTGTTGCTGTAATTTGAGTCGTCCTCTCTTTATAAATCATGTGTAAGATATTATTTTCCCCCTCAGAGACGTTATCTTCTGCCAGGGGGAAGAAGCTGGAACATGGCTTTTCCAGGGGCCTGAAGAAACAGTGATTTTTCTAAGAACTGGATTTAAGAGTAAAGAACCTCCAGAACAGACAGCTCACAGTCCTCTTTCGGAGCTTTGCACCTCTCTCTGGTCTCTCTCTTTGGTCTCTCTGTGGTCTCTCTGTGGTCTATCTCTGGTCTCTCTCTCTGGTCTCTCTCTAGTCTCTCTGTGGTCTCTCTGTGGTCTATCTCTGGTCTCTCTCTCTGGTCTCTCTCTAGTCTCTCTGTGGTCTCTCTCTGGTCTCTCTCTGTGGTCTCTCTGTGGTCTCTCTCTGGTCTCTCTCTGTGGTCTCTCTGTGGTCTCTCTGTGGTCTATCTCTGGTCTCTCTCTCTGGTCTCTCTCTAGTCTCTCTCCGGTCACGAATCTGTCTGGACAGGATTAAAGATGTCTGACCTGATAAGCAGAGGTGGTGGTGATAGCATCACTCTCCTCCCTCCCGTCTCCTTGTGTTTGCGTCTCAGACTCACACTCAAGGTCCTTCTTTCCTTGTTCCAAAAAGGACAAAGATAAAGACAATACCTGCATCTCTAACGTTTTGTTTTTTTCTTAATCCATCTTAAAGTCGGTACAAAGTATCTTTACAGCTTGCACTTCTGAACATTCTGTAACAACCACAAACATACTTAAAAACAATATTTATTCCAACTGACTTTCTGTTTACCACTCGCTCATTGAGGCCAGATGTGTGTAGTGTTTTTTTTTTTTAACTTTAATTGAAAGATTGCTTTAACGTGTAATTTTGATTGCTCCCTTTAGAACCAATGGACTTCACCGATGGATATAGTTGTCTCTGTAACCTGCCTTTGCCGGTGTGTGCAGGACTAGAACTGGACCATGGACGGAGACCAGAGTCCTGAGAACAAAGACCAGAGTCCTGAGAACAAAGACCAGAGTCCTGACAGCAAACACCCTACAGTGGAAGGTACAACGTGACAATCCCAGACACAATTCAACTTTTATTAACATTTATGGACATTGGCCGTTATGGCTCTATGTGTTTATCATTGTTGCATTTCCTGTGTTTGAACTGTTTGATTCTCAGATCTGTGTAGGTGAATTGAAAGCTTTGTAAAGTCCTCTGAAATAACTATTGTTGTGATTTAGAGATACACAAATATATTGAACAAAATTGAATTGAACTTATCAAAGTGTTCCATTTGTTTAACAGAAACTAAATTCGTGAATGCCTTTTTCATTTTGCTCCATGGTTGTAGATGACGTACAGGGCCTTTTAATTCAATCTCTATACTTTGGCCTGAGTTCGAAATATGAAATGAGACCAGGGTGTGTATGTTGAGCTAAAGGATGAGTGATTGAGAAACTTATTGTTGTGTTTTCCTCCCACAGACACAGATATTGGAGAAATGCCCCAATGCAAGATGGGAAAAAGGAATGTAGACGACATGAGATTTATGATCACATGTACAAACTGGTATTGACCTGAAGAACATCACATCTACATTTACCTTGGATCTTCCCCTGATCGGAGTGTTTCCACTGGTTCTGATTAACCAGAACCAGGTCCTTCTGTAGTCCTTCCTGGTCTTGGATCATCACTGTCCTTAGACCCTCCTGCATCAGAGCAACAACTCTAAAAACCCAGAGGGAGAAAAGTGAGAAACCTGAGAGAGATCCACATAGAGGCTGTAGATCCAGGACTGAGATTCAGGACCAAGGCCCCGTTTATACAGAGACGCTGCTACAGTAAAACGTTCGAGTTGGATATCGGTTTGGCCTCCTGTTTACATGGAGACAGTGTTTCAGGGGGGTGAACCAGCCTACAGAGTGGAACAGAACAGATACGCTGCTGTAGATCCAGGACTGAGGCCATGCGATGCAGGATTGAGGCGGCTCCCAGAATAAAAAATATGAAAATGTGAGTGCTGGACTGTTCTTTTTTTAATCAGATTTTAGATACAGTTGAATAAACAATAGCATTGATCAATCACATTCTAGGACACAGAGGTTCAGAAATCTATCATTTACTAGTTTCTGCCTTCAACCCTGAGCTTTACGAATTAAAAATTGCATTATAATGAATTGAAAAGGTGTTTTATTTCCTTTCGATGCTCATTAGTTCTTGCATCACAGAAAACAGAGTCATGAGACAAAGAAGTTTTCCCCTTTTATTGTCTTCGTTAACAGAACATTGTGTCAGTGGTTTATAATTGGCGTGAGACAAAATCAAACAACAAAATATAGATAGAAAAACATCCAGTGAGCATTTAACAAGTGAAATAATAAACAGTCGTAGAAAGATCAGAAACATGCCTCGACCATATGCTTCGTTGTCATCTATGCAAAAGATGGAATAAAGAAGTGTGTGATAAGTAATCCTCTACAAAGAGTCATAACAAAACCCCTCATAACCAAAAGTGCATCCGCAAAAGTGAGTAGTCTATGTTTTATAACCTCCCCTTTAAGAAACAGCAGTAATATTCCAAACAGTATTTACAGAAGAACGATCTCTTAAAGCTATCGCAGATGTAACTAAAAGTACTTTCATTGTCATAAAACCCAAAAGGACAATAGAAATCATTTTGTTTATTGTTAAAAAACAGCTCAGTCTGACCTTTTGATATGTTTCATTTACCTCAAAATGAATGTGTGCTGTTTTTGTTGGTCTAAAAAAAGTGGATTAGAATCAAAAGGCAACAGCAGCCGACTCCAAGAAGACTTCACCATCTCCCAAACTCACAGTGAACTTTGTCAGAGATGGAACTTTAGACTTTAATACTGTATAGATACTATTGTCAGAGATGGGACCATTATGGACTGTCATGTTCTCTCTCTGGTCTCTCTTTCTGGTCCCTCTCTCTCTCTGGTCTCTCTTTCTGGTTAGGGTTAGGGTTCTCTCTATCCATAGGAGTAGAACAGACTCCTCCCATTTCCTCAAGTGAGTTCAGTCTTAATAAATAAATAACAATTGAAGTTTCAGGCAACCCTTTAACAGGATTGGCCGATGGAACAAATATCACTCACCACATGAGCTCCATCGGAAAGTTTGTCAAAGTTCGAAAGCAGACGATAACCGCTGCTACTTAAACCACAGAATGAGAGAGGCGTGACCAAAGCAGTGAAACTCCCCAGCCAGAAACATTAGGAAGACTTTAGAGCATGACAGAGAACAGAGCTGCCATTAAAATAACAATCAATGAACTGCCATTTTCATCAGGGCTGCACAATAATCGAAAAAATATTGTCATTTGGTGATATTGTGTGCGATATCCATGTCTAAAAGATGCGCACAGCCTGCTCTGCTCAAACCAAAGGCAAATGCTTCTGTAGCTCCTTATGAGAAAATTCGAAGCGACATAAAGCTTTAACTGCAGCCATTACACGATATTTATCAAAGTGCACACTCTCCGTACTGTGGGTATGGAATTGGCAACTTTAAGCAAGTTGTGAGGTTAATATGTCATATGCCATGCTGAATTTGAATGTATTTAATGTTGTGGCTTAGTTTTGTTCACAATTTTTCTCTTGCGGTTCAATTCAGATTGTATTGTTTGATGAAAGACAAAAATATTAAATACTAAACATATTCAATATCGCTCTAATTTCCAATCATGTGCAGCCCTAATTATTATTATTCGCTCATGAATAAACAAACAAAAACTCGATTTTCCAAATGTTTCTCCAGTGAATCATGTGTGTTGGTATTGTGTCGTTTGAAGAACACAGGTTTTTATACGCATTGTCCGTGAACAGGGACCAGAGGGAGCAGGGCGGGGACAGGGACCAGAAGGAGCAGACAGAAGCAGACAGAGCTAAAGTTTGGAGGAAGTAAGAAGAGCAAGTACATTTCTTCTGCTGATGTGATGATAGAAGATTCACCTGGAAAAAGGTTGGAGACCCCTGTTCTGTGGGCTTAAGTCTGGGCTGAACTAACAGAGGTTTCTTCATTAAGGTCTTTGTCAATATTGTCTCTCTGCCTGAATCCTCAAACACAGCCCTGGTCGCACTCTTTCTCTTCTCTCTCCATCATTTCCACTGATCTCCTCCATGGCTATAATATGTGTTTTAATGTGTCATAATAACAAATAAGCATTGAACTTTAGTCCTCTTTGAAAGATACTTTTAGGCAAATGATACAGGAACGTTCAGTTTATATGGTCAAGTTTAACAAATAGATTGATAGAGTGACTGTGTGGTTCTGTTCTCATGTGTCAGTGTGTTTCTGTTGTATGGCGGTGGAAAAGCTCTTGCAAAAGTCAGTGTTTAACCAGTGTCAACGAGAGAGGGATTTGGAACGTAGGGAATCTCTGACGAGTGAGTAACGTCTGTCGCCTAAAATATGAGGTAAAAATGAATCAAGTAGTTTTAATCTTAATCTGAGCAAATTCTGACTGTGTTAAAACAAGATTCACCAATGGGACAAAGCCATTTTGTCTTTTTCAAGAACTGTTGCTTTATTTTCTCATTCCAAAGGAGACATTTCTTGTATCTTTTTAAAACAAGATCATTTTGCTTTGTCCCATTGGTAAATCTTGTTTTAAGGCTGTGAGAATGTGTACAAATTAAGAGACATTTTGCCAAATCTGAGCAATCTTTGACTTATTTCTAATTACTTTTTGCAGTGCGAAGGCTGAGTGGGTGAAGGACTGGTCATGCTGTGGTTCTGTGATTTCTCAGTTAAATGAAGGAAAATAACAAACTGATCTCTGTCTGAGTTGTGTTCTTGTCCAGGGAAACAGCGATCACAGCGTACATGTACTTTTCTGCATGACCTGCCTCCCCTTTGGGTCGCTTCCTTATGACCTTCTAACTACGATTCATTTTCACTTTAAAGTTCTAGTTTTGTAAGTCAACACAGTTCACATATACAAGCTTTTCTAAGAAACTTGAAGATGGCTGACCTGATGTAATTATGATGTTCACTGAGAAGAAAAGGTCACTCGTTGTAGGTCCAAGGAAAAACAGTTAGCGTTTCTTAACCGTTAGCGTCTTTTAACTGTTAGCGTCTTTTAACCGTTAGCCTTATCCAGGATAAGGTTAGCCAGGATTAGTGGAAACCCTGGAATCAAAGCAAGTGTTTTCTGTGGCACAAAATAGGCACAAGTCTCACACACAACAATCATGTTCAAGCTTGGAGGTTCCAACATGGCGTCCTCTGCTTCAGCCCAAAGTCTGCAGGCGAAGATCGTCCCTTCTGATTGGCTGTTCATACAAAATGGAGGCGTGTCATACCCACTCCTGCACTGGGTACTTGTAGAACTGCGGCGTCAGTGTGTTTTGCTGTGTCCCTTTGTTCTTGAACTGGAAGATAGTGTAAACAAGAACCAGGACGCACAGGGACAGGACACAGGGAATCACCACGGCGATGGCATTGACGGTGGACGGGACGTCGTTGATGGTCACCATGATGTCCACGTCGTCCAGGGGCAGTAGGCGGTCTCCACGGTTACCACTGCCGCCCCCCAGGCGCTCGATGTCCAACTGGTCACAGCCCATCCAGTCCCGCAGGATGGACTTGGGGTACCCAGGGTCCACCGTCAGCTTCTGGTTGTCAAACTTCCAGTAGTCTTTGCCTTTGTAGAAGTATGTGTAGTCTGACGGGCACAGAGAGGAGGTAAAGGATATTTCAAACAAGAAACGAATAAAGAAATCACAGTTGTGCTTGGATGTTTAGACACCCAGCCAAAATGCCAATTCAATTCAATTTGATTTTGTATCACTCTGAACCCTGATGCTGACCAGCCCCAGTGCCTTGCCTTGCCTTGCCATTAAGAAAAAAAACCTAAACACTTTTTATTTTATTTTTTTGGGGAATTTTGATAACTTTTTAAATTTGACCAGCCCTGGCTCGTTTAGAGTCTTTTAGACCCTAATTTAAGTCATTTTTCTTCTACTTTAAATCACTGTGGCGGATCATTTTGACCTAATGGTCAAAGTTGTCGATTTCCCTACACAGATCAGAGAATCAATCAGTTCAAACCATGGATCTATTATAATAACTGGATAGGGTATTACTAGCTTGTAGCTGAATAACCCATGTGCTCAGGGGATTCTCGCGGTACTGCAGACTGAACCAGACTAAATTCGCGTGGGCTACCCAGAAATTTTCCCCATAGGACTCAATGCATATTAAAACAGCTCAACCTCAGCTGACAGAGAACCTACAGCTTTAATAAAGGTCGGATTTTGTGGGGATTTTAGTGTCCCTTGTCATCCTGAACTTTTTTTCTTCTTAAATCCTTCGGTTTTGTTTAAATCCACACTTTAGTGCCACAAACTCTGCTCCTCTGGCTCTCGCTCTAACTCCCGCTCTGATGAACTGCTCTGATTGGTCAGAGCGCGGCCGAGCCCCTCTGTGCACGTGCGTGAGACCCGGTGTGAGACCCACACATGCGTGTTTGGCGCAACGCATTATGGGAGATCATCCACTGCGCAGAACCGGGAGGACCAGACGATGCCCAAATACAGGCGAGTTTCCCATAGATCTTTGCGAGTTTCAGGCGACTTCCGCTAATCTTTCAGCCCCCATGCCGTCACAAAGCGCCACTGAGCACAACCATTCATTTGAATAGGGCGCTATCTTGGATCGCCGGGGCTTGGTTCAAACACAGGAAATGCAACAATAACAAACAAATGTTTGTAAATGTTGTTGAATGTGGAGTGTCCTGAACCATCACCAAATGTCCTTGTTTTGGCTTTGACCTAATCTTTATGTGAATGAACATAAAACACAGAAGTAATACATGACTTATTCTCTAGGTTTGTGTTTCATTATTGTTTCATCATCAGACACAGACCTGGAATTATTTTTTAGATCCACGCTATCATCAGACACTTATGGTAAAAATGTGTAGCTACGACCCTTCTGTCTAAAAGCTCCTGTCCGAGGCTGTGTTCCCACCGCTGATGCATGGACGGGCGTTTACTAAATTTCAGCTGCATGAGTTTAGTCAATCTGTCATACTGCCCTGCGTTGGGGGAAAAATGCAGTGGGTACAGTAGAAACACTATGACATCACTATGACATCACTATGATATCACACAGCAGTTTTCTGTCTTTAAAACAGAAGGAGAGCCCATAAATTGGTTTTGTCAATCTCTTGCAAAGTATGAAATTACATACTTTGCAAACACAATGCAGTGGTTGCAGCTGGTAATTTTAAAATGTGGAACGAAATAAACAAACACATTCTTCGCCTCCCTCTGGTGGCAGCATTGGGGGTTACAGTCGAGAATGTGTGTTAAGGTTAAGATTAGTATTATAAGATCCTTTATTGGTCCCACTGTGGGGAAATGTCAGTGTGGCATCACCAGATACAAAACAGTAGGAATGAGAGGCAAGATAAATTAACAATAAGTCTAAACTAAAATAAAATCTCTAACGTTAGCATAATAAAGAAGCAGGTATAAAATCTCGGTCGGCAGTGTTCATACTTATTTCATCATGTATATTCTCCTGAAGATTCTAAACCCAGAGCACTTACATCCTTCTTTGCTGATGAAGGCCCCCTGTGGAGAGCTGGGGATCCCCTTCCAGACGGTGATGGGTTTGGGGTACCCTGGGTCCGCGGTGGCCTTCTCCTCGTTGTAGCGCCAGTACTGGTCGCCTTTGAAGAAGTATGTTTTTCCCACCGGTTCCCAGCGCAGCGCCGCATCTATGCCGTCTTTGGGGAGACAACTGCCCAACTCCTCCAGACTATGGGGGTACCCCGCCTCCATCGTCACCTCCTTAAACACCCAGAACTTATCACCTGACACACAAGAGAGGGGAGACCTTTACAGCCAGCGTTCAGGTAGAGAGATCATAGAGAGAAAGAGAGAGAGAGAGAGAGAGAAATCAGAGAGCGAGAGAAAAACCAGAGAGAGAGAGAGACCAGAGAGAGAGAGACCAGAGAGCGAGACAGACTAGAGAGAGATACCAGAGAGAGAGAGACAGAAACAGAGAGATAGATAGAGAGATTCTAAATTGGTTTGTCTGTAGAAGAAGTGCCGGTTTCCAAAAGCAGAAACACATCCATCCAAACTAACAAATACATAAATATATAATTCTAAAAGTGACTAACAATAGTAATAAAGCAGCAGCAGAGATGGTTTAGCCGCTGGGGCTGAGCTGCTTCCTCTGGGTGATGTTTGCAGAGTCTCCTTGATTCGAACCATTATCTCTGCTCCGCTTCAGAGTGAAATTCTGAATGCTTTATTAGCATTGATCTGCTTGGTTGGGACCATCCTCTCTGCTCTGGTCTGGATCAGTGTAAAACCAGGAACACTTTACTGCAACAACGATTATAAAATGAAAATAACGAGTGTAAAACACAAAACAACTGTTTCAGAGACTCAGGACCTGCCGCTGTTTCCAGAGCATTCTAAAGCTTCAAAGTCACTCAGAAACTTTTCTTCAAAACGCAGCCTCTGGTGAAGTTTACCACGGATTATTTATGAAGGATTATATCACTCTTAAGGAATAAATCGTTCTAAAATCTTATCAAAAGAGTTTTTTGGCCCAAGGCAGATTTTGATGCGGGTTTCAAACAGAAGTGTTCACAGGAGAAACCTCGGCTTCCTGAGACAAACTTTTATTGAACAAAAACAACCTTAAAATGAATTTGTTTTTAAACATTGAAAACACTTAAAGACCTAGGAAAAGCTTTTTCGATAAACCACATGCTTCTGTTTTTACCTTTATAAAAGACAAACTTCCCGTCAGATCTCTCGTACGCAGCGTCGATCCGAGGAGGGAGCCCCTTCCAGAACTGGTCGATCTGCATGGGGTACCCCTCCTGCACCTTGTTGTTCCGCAGACGCCAGAACCATCGGTCCTGAGATAGAAAGTAAGGATCAGAGAAGAAGTCGTCAGGGAAGAAGAAGACAACAGAAGAACAAGTGAGAAGACTGTGTGTGTGTGTGTGTGTGTGTGTGTGTGTGTGTGTGTGTGTGTGTGTGTCTGTGTCTGCGTGTGTGTGTGTATGCGCGCGTGTGTGTGTGTGTGTCTGTATGTGTATGTGTATGTGTGCGTGTGCGTGTGTGCGTGTGTGTGTGTTTGTGTATGTGTGTGTGTGTGTGTGCGTCTGGGGCTTCAACATTTATTTGGCTTCAGTGAATCTCGGCCACCACATTGTCCCCACGTTATCGAGCTCCACAAACAGGTACAAACACGGAGCTAAAGTGCAACACTGACAATTTCCCCACCGTGCGGCGAACAAAATATCTCTGTACGTTCATCTTAAACAATATCGTCCAAACCGCCATAGAAATATACAGTAATTTAACAAGACTTCAAAATAAACATAAAAGTCCCTGATGAACAACCGAGCTGCAGCTGCTGCGCGTAAAGTGCTGCTCAGGAAATGTCTCACAAACACTTCGCACTTACTTCAGGGACCCCACATCTGCACTTCCTGGAGGAGTATTATGGGATGTATTTATAGACCGGGGCAGAGCATTCAGCTGGAGGAGGCTCTTCCACATTCATTACAACGAAAGCAGTTGTTTATAGAAATATATAACGTTTATTTTCTCTTCTGTCCTGCGTCCATTATTCACAACTAAAGACTGGTCATCTGCTGAGCTTTTGGGATCGAAAAAACTTAATTTAAATCAAAAACTGATTGGTTTTAACTTCTGCCCTGACAAGGCCCCTGTCCTTGAGGCACGACTGTTGTTTCTGTTGTGTTGTTGTTTTGTTATATGAAGCTAAACGCAGAGACGCCATAAATATGATGTTTGTGTGATTCCATTTGCCGACTGTGTGCTTATAATGTGTGTTTTAGTGTAGTTTTAGTTAATTTCAAGCACACAATGAAAGAGTCTACATCATCTACAACAACAACAACATGATCCTGCTGATACAACACATGACACCACACAACAGTATCTATGCAGAGGACCTTCAACTATCATAACCATTCGCCAAAAACCAACACAATTTATTCATTTTTATTTAATATTTGAAGATGAATAGTTATTAAAGTCAAAATATGATAAATAAATATGTATGAATTTGTAAAAATCTATGAAAAACTGAAACCAAAAGTATTATATATACTAATGATAATGTATTTGAGATCCTCTTATGTTATAGAACTGACAGAGAATGATCTGCACTGAAGCAGAGTGGAGGCAGGTGAAGCAGCTCCGACCTTTTCTAACATTTAGTTTAAAGATCACAGACATCAGAAGAGACTTTTCACCCTCTCCCCCTCCCCCTCCCCCCACCCTCTCCTCACCCTCCTATACCCTGCATGTACAGTATATACATGCATATACAGTCAGCACATTGTGTCAGCACAGACACATACACACGTGTATGCATACACACATGCAATTTCTTGTACATGTGCGTGCCTGTGTGTGTGTATCTGTGTATAGTATACTGTATATGAGTATGAGTATATTTAATGCTGTATTTTTATTTTAGTTTTTCAGTTCTTGCAGCTGTGTCTATTATTTCTATGTCAATTGTAACATTTGAGTAAAAACCCACAGGAAGAAGGGACCTACAGTATGTGGAACTGAAGAAAAACAAAGATTCGACCATGTGGTCTGTGCAGCTGGAGCAGTGATGTTTCAGAGCAAGTGCCGTGTTCCAGAACTCTCCTAATGTACAATTAAAGCTTATCTCCTCAGCAGCACTTTTTATAGCGGGCACAGAGAGTGACTCACAGTCTGAAAGAGGAACACTACGTCCACATCTCTCTCTGAGTTCCTGATTCCACTGCACCATCTGCAGCCAACAGTCTGCAGCTGTAGGATGGAGAGCTCTCAGCCACCTCGCTCGATCCCAAAGGATCGTGTTGTGGAGCTCAGGTGGAAAATCAGACAGAAAGTACAAAGCTCACTGTGCTCAATAATAATAATAATAATAATAATAATAATAATAATAATAATATAATAATAATAATGCATCGGTTTTATATAGCGCTTTTTTGGACACTCAAAGTCTCTTCACATGTCATTGTTCATTCACTCCATACACATTGGTGATAAACTACTACTGTGGCCAAACTGCCCTGGGGCGCATTGACAGAAGCGAGGCAACCAGTATGAGCCATCGACCACCACCAACCATTCACACACACCAGACTCATGCAGCCTCGCGGAAATTCAATTTGGAAGACGTCAGCCAAAGCCACCCCTTCCAGGCCGGCCTCGCATCCCCAGCCTATCGCACAGCAAACGCCCACTTCCAATCAATCTGTGCCGGCCAGGCCAGCCGCTTAAAAGCGGAGAAACTCCCACTTCACGGCCTTCTCGAAGCCTTGCAACCACCGCCTCCCCTCCTCCTCCTCTTCACCCTGCCTCAATCTGCCTTCCTGCTGCCAAATGCCGCCACCAGTGCCTAGGTCCCGGGGGATTGTGCACACACTCTCGCAGGAGCCTCGCTGACTGAACGCCGCACCGGGGCCTAGGACGCCAAACTACCTCTCAATAAAATACTTCAAAGGCATTTTTGTTTCCTCGTCTCTCCAGATTGAAATTCTAATGTGGGTGAAGTGTCTTGCCTGAGGACACACTGCCGCCTCACTGTGGCACCTGGTGTGCCCAAAGATTGTCTTGCTTCTGGTTTTGACATTTTTTGCTTTCAGATTTTGTGGTGGAATTATTTTTTCTAAGCAACGTTACTTCATCCATTTAAGTAATTTCAACACATATCAACACATATTTCGACACACATCTCTGGTCCCCATTCACACCTCAGGCACCACCGAGCCGTCCTCTTCTGTTCTTATTTCTACTTCTAACTTAGTAGAAGCAAGTCCGTCCCCGACTAGTCCAAGCTAACGTTATATATGACTAAAACGGTTTGCAATATACCTGAGAAAATGTGTTGTGTTACTGCATCAGGAAATACAAATCTATAATCTGATGTAAGTTTGGATGTAACAGCTTGTTCTGGTGCTTCTCACCTTGAAGACAAACATCTCTCGTCGGAAGAAGGCTACAGTATTGAAGTTGCCGTCGCAGATGTTGGGTTTTCCGTTGCCGGGCAGTGCAGGGCGGTCTCCTGAGGGCCGAGCAGGACGCGAGTGTTTACGCTCAGAGGTGGAGACACGACGAGGAGGCAGCGTGGGTAAGGGCCGGGTGGGCTCCAGCATCGCAGTGGGCATGCCTGGAGGAGGACATTTGTATTACTGTCTGGGAGGATAACACTGGGAGCAACCAAACAAGCAAAGGTTACTGTCCCATACTGCATATAGGGTACTCCTCATCATCTACAAGAGACTTCTGAACCTTGAAGACCGAGCCTTCTGAACCTTGAAGACCGTGCCTTCTGAACCTTGAAGACCGAGCCTTCTTAACCTTGCGGACCAAGCCTTCTAAACCTTGAGGACCGAGCCTTCTGAACCTTGAAGACCGAGCCTTCTGAACCTTGAAGACCGTGCCTTCTGAACCTTGAAGACCGAGCCTTCTTAACCTTGCGGACCAAGCCTTCTGAAACCCTGATCACCGAGCCTTCTGAACCCGGAGGACCAAGCCTTCGGAACCTTGAGGACCAAGCCTTCTGAACCTTGAAGACCGAGCCTTCTCAACCTTGAGGACCAAGCCTTCTAAACCTTGAGGACCGAGCCTTCTGAACCTTGAAGACCAAGCCTTCTGAAGCCTTAGGACCAAGCCTTCTGAACCCTGAGGACCGAGCCTTCTCAACCTTGAAGACCAAGCCTTCTGAACCTTGAAGAAGGCTTCAGAAGGCTTCCAAGACCGAGCCTTCTGAACCCTGAGGACCGAGCCCTCTGAACCTTGAAGACCAAGCCTTCTGAACCCTGAGGACCGAGCCCTCTGAACCTTGAAGACCAAGCCTTCTGAACCCTGAGGACCAAGCCTTCTGAAGCCTTAGGACCAAGCGTTCTGAACCCTGAGGACCAAGCCTTCTGAAGCCTTAGGACCAAGCCTTCTGAACCTTGAGGACCAAGCATTCTGAAGCCTTAGGACCAAGCCTTCTGAACCTTGAGGACCACGCCTTCTGAACCTTGAAGACCAAGCCATCTGAACCCTGAGGACCAAGCCTTCTGAACCTTGAGGACCGAGCCTTCTGAACCTTGAAGACCAAGCCTTCTGAACCCTGAGGACCGAGCCTTCTGAACCTTGAAGACCGAGCCTTCTGAACCCTGAGGACCAAGCCTTCTGAACCTTGAAGACCAAGCCTTCTGAACCCTGAGGACCGAGCCTTCTGAACCTTGAAGACCAAGCCTTCTGAACCCTGAGGACCGAGCCTTCTGAACCTTGAAGACCGAGCCTTCTGAACCCTGAGGACCGAGCCTTCTGAACCTTGAAGACCAAGCCTTCTGAACCCTGAGGACCGAGCCTTCTGAACCTTGAAGACCGAGCCTTCTGAACCCTGAGGACTGAGCCTTCTGAGCCCTGAGGACTGAGCCTTCTGAGCCCTGAGGACCGCTAATGTTAACTTCTGACAGTAAACAGTGTGTAGCTTTTGGAACTACCACTTAATATTCTCTGGTGGAAAATGCATTCAAAAGTAAAATATAATTGAAGGAACAACAATGACGATGTAAAGAAACAGAAAAAGTCACAAAGTTAGACTTGCAGATGAAAATGACCTCTCTGACACTTTGAATCAGGAGCTCTAAACTAAAGCCGAGTTCCAGAACAGTCTGATATAAAGTCTAACTTTTTTCATCTTCAGCTGCTGTGATGAACATAGACGAGTTTCCACTGATCTTTGTTCTTTGTTCACTATAAACTTTCCAAAAATGACGAATATCATGGGAACTTTGTTGTGTGTCTACTGAAATTAGCCAAAAATTCGAGTCTACTGGGTGCACAATTAACAAATCACAAATCTGTGGCTAACTTTTGGTTCTACACTTCATTAAATGATGTGGAGCGATTTAGAGCTCTGCAGGTCAAACGACAAGGCTGGTTTGGCAAAGTGTACATGTAATTCTCTGGATAATTTTGTAGGGGGCGCTAATGGTGAAATATCATGTTTTTTACTCTCAGTTGACCTACCGATTGAAATTTGGTTCTAATGAAACTTTATATGAGTAAACGGGAGCAAAAAGTGTAAAAAAGGCAGAATTTGCTGCTTCATTTGCACACCGTTTAACTGATCACAGTTCTGCAGCTAACCTTTGATACTACATGTTTTTAGATGATGTGGAGCGAATGAGCCAAATCTGTGAAACGGCTGAGGCTGGTTCGCATTGTAACACATTGTTTTCCTCCCTGAGTATACCTTTGGCTCACTCTGAAGGGAGAGCTAAGGCTCAAACTTCATGTTTTTCAGCTGATATAGATCCAAGAGTTAAACAACCAATTCAAATTTGGAGCAAAAACATTTGTAGCGTAGCTTGTCTGCCATTTAACCAATCACAATTCTGGGGATAATTTTAAATGCTACATGTGTTTAATCGATTTGGAACAATTTTGAGACAAATCTGTGATATGCCAAGGCAGAGTTGTTGTTCATAACAATCCATCCATCCATTTTCTACCCTTTAATCCATATCTGGGTCAGGGGGGTGGCAGTCAGAGATGCCACCCAAGTCTCATAGCACCAGCCCCTCACTGACCCTCTGCAGGTGGTGAGTCCACAGGAGGACGGCTGCTCTCTGAGTGTGAGCATAGCCTTGATCTTTCAGTGGGGGCTTTGGGCAAAGTGGGGTTAAGTGTCTTGCCCAAGGACACAACGACAGCAGTCATCAGTGGGAGTCGGTGGAGAAGGTGCAGAGGTGGGAATTGAACCCACGACCTTCTGGGCTTAAGGCCAATGCTCTACCAACTGAGCTACTGTCGTTCATAACAATGTTTTTTCCAAATTATGGACTCCCTGTTTGTCAGGGGGCGTGACAAAATTTTTTTTTAGCTTGTATTGAGGGGACAAATATGCCTAGGATAAACTAAATGCAATAATGGCTAATTGCAATTGATGGTACTATTGCGTAATCTTTTTAGTCTCATTAAAAAAACCTAAAAAAAAACTTGATCTTTTGAAATATTAAGGATTTTTTTTTTCTAAAAATCCATCCTTGAGCTAAAACAATGTAAGTTTCAATCATTTTAAACAGTTGCATTATGATGAGTGACGGTCACTGACGTCACTCACCGCAACCTCTTGCATTCACCACCGCTCAGGTCTAATCAAAACATTGTTTTCCCAGATCAGCACCACGGACAGCGGCCCTGTGTCGCTGGTTGTGCTGTGTTCTGTTTTAGATCCACGTACCGTAGATCTTCTGAATGCCCTGCAGATCGTCCAGAGGCAGTTTGAAGTTGTGTGTGTCCATGTACTGGTAGAACGGAGCCATAATGGCGCTGGGGTCGTTAGAATGTTCCAGACCCAACGCATGTCCCAGCTCATGCACCGCCACCAGGAACAGATCGTTACCTGGAGACGAGAAACCAGAGAGAATCAGAACATGTCACAGCAAAAGCACTGGCAGAAGTGTCCATATTTTGACCATATTTTGAGAAAAAGATGAATAACAAGTTTATTTGTATAGCACAGTTCATACAGAAGGCGACTCAAAGTGCTGAAATAAACAAGAATCCAGTCCCTATGCTCCTCAAAGTTAGAGTTAGAGTAACGTTAGAGATTTTATACTTGCTTCTTTATTGTGCTAAAATTAGAAATGTTATTTTATTTTAGTATAGAGTAATTGTGGGATGATTAAAGAAACTCTTCCTTTTCAAGCTTTATTTATTACTTTATTACTATTTCTAATGACTTAATCTGAATCTGAATCTATTTACATGTTTATACTGTATTTCCAAGACACTCATAGATAGATGATGTTAAAGGGGCAAGACATTTCCGTTCCCTTTAACATCTATGAAGCTTGGAATCTTTGGCGGTCGTTGTGGATCAGGTTTGTCGTCACTCGTCTTGCTATAAATTCCTGGGTCGCCTAGAGTGAACTTCCACCTCATGTGAACTTCCACATTGTGTGAACTGTGCGTTTGAAACTTTTCCATACTGGCTCAACCAACATACAACCAACACGCAACCAACACACAACTGAAACACAATCGCTAACAATTAGGTTTTTATCCTCCATAAAAACACCTAATTTGTTCAAAATTTCCCCAAACAAATGTACAACCAAAGTAAAAGACTAAAGGAAGCCGAGATTATCAAAGAGAGACAGAGTAAAAGTCAGACTTGTATAAGACTCTGAATGTGGTCCAATAGTGAATAATGTATATGTGCAAAGACCATAAGTGTTCTAAAAATACTCACACGTTGTCTTTCTTTGGACCGTTTTCCTTCAGGCAGATCATCAAAAGTATTTTTACTACACACTATACAATAATAATAATAATAATAATAATAATAGTAAAGCATCGGTTGTATATACAGTATGTACTGTTGAAGTCTCTCTTTTCTCATAAACATTTATTTTCTGTAGTTTAAAGGGCAACAAAACACCAAATAATTTTTTTTAAACTTATAAACTGCTTCAACATGTTTCTTACTCTCTACATTTTTCGTACTCTCTACATGTCCTGGTCAATTTTCTGACATTTTAATGCAAATTAGATAAAATGTCACTTTTGAGCCTAAACCCGTCTGTGCAGCGCCCTCTCTACATTTACGGTGGTACTTCATTTGAATTTTGTGCACGGCCTCCCCATTGGCTCTGGAGTGCAGTGTGACCATGGATCTATTATAATATCTGGATAGGGCAATACTAGCTTAGAGCTGAAGGACCTATGTGCTCTTCGGTTCAGGTGTGTAGCTCGCTCAACTCTAAGCCCCCTTTCTTTGTCCACTGGTCCGCCAGGCAACGCCCTTTTTATAGAACATTTCAACTGTTCGTGCGGGCGGACTAAGACTGGGCCCTCTTCAATCATCCATCTTCAAAGACACTGAACTTGGAAAATACTTGTATCATCTCAGTAATTACTTTGAGTCGTTCTGAACCTAATGAGACAAAATCATCATTTGTTTGAGACTCAGAGGTGTGTGTGTGTGTGTGTGTGTGTGTGTGTGTGTGTGTGTGTGTGTGTGTGTGTGTGTGTGTGTGTATGTGTGTGTATCTATGTGGGAGAAGAAAGTGTGTCCTTGTATTGTTATCATGTCTCTAATCTTTCAATTACTCAGGGCATGCGTGTGTGTGTGTGTGTATGCATAGGTGTGTGTGTGTGTATGCATATGTTGGTGTGTCTGTCTGTGTGTCTGGAATAGTGTGCAGGGATGTAGATGTGTGTGTGCGTGTGCATGTGTGTGTGTGTGTGGATGTGTGTGTGTGTGTGTGTGTGTGTGTGTGTGGATGTGGGCGACACACATTAAAGACACCCAAATCATTCAGATAACTTTCCCTTCCTGTTTGGATGTGTATAATTGATGAGGCTCCACTTAATCCCTTTGATACATATTTAGACATAGGTGCAGAGGAAGTAATCCCTTTGATACATATTTAGACATAGGTGCAGAGGAAGGCGTGGTATATTTAAGGGCCTGTGGAAGGTACTGCTTTGTCCTGGGTCTAATCTCTTGCTGCAGACTCCCAGATCTGTCACTGTCGCTTTTCTCTTTATCACACGTTCCTTATTCAGAGAAGCTGATCTGGCGCCCGCCATTTGTCAAAGTGTGTGGAAGAAGAAGAACGCACAAAGTCAAATGGGGAAACAAATACGTGTGGATTTTGTGAAAGTGTTGGATGTAGGAGGCAAAGGCGGATAATGAGGATCTTGATTTGAAAGCTGCTTGCCTCCAATTCATTTTATGTTGTGAAAATATATATGTTATTTCACAATTATTAAAGACAGAGAAGCCAGAGGGACAGGCCAGCTTAGCTTCTCAGGTCTGACAGAATCTGGCTTTTACCTGCAGGTATTGCCACATCACACATTTTTACAATTCCTGTTACTTTAGCAGTTTAGTAGTAAATATATTTTAATGGTTGTTGCTTTACTGAACTTGGGTAAAGTTTTTTGCCTACTGACCTTGAAGGTGTATAAGGCTGTGTTATGAAGTAATTATGTTTAAATTGAAGCTACAGTCTCAGATAAATAAAAGAATAATCCACATCTGTCAACAAGAGACTTTAAAGCAGCTCTGCTTTTTACAAGCCTCTTCAGGGCCTCGCACCAAAGTACATCTGTGACATGTTAGTGCCATGAAACAACTCTGAGGATCACAGGGACTGGCCTCCTGCTGGGACTCTTGAGTCAGGACTAAACATGTTTAACATTTCAGATTAATGCAGCTAAAATCTGGAAAAGTTTTCCTGAATATGTGAGACAGGCTTCTTTTCTGACAATGTTTTCATCCAGGTTAAAAACAGTTATGTTTCTGCAACAAGTGAAGGAGTTTATCTTTAATCTTTTGAATGTGTGACTGTCTCTTGTTTTGTTCAGCCCTTTGAGTTTCCTTGTGTATGAACTGTGCTCTACAAATAAACTTGCCAGTGTGAGTTTGGACACAGAGCTCGTACCGTCGTGGTTGGCGTTCCCCAGAGTCCAGGGTTCGTCGGAGTCAAAGTGAGTGTCTCCTCCAATGCCGGCGCCCGGGAAGTAGGCGTGAGCCAAGAAACCGCCCTCGCCATCGAAGGGAGAGCTGTCTCCATGGAAACCAGAGGCAAAGAAGATCATGATGTCCGCCTCCCGCCCCTCACTCTTGATCTCTGCGTATGGCACTTCCTGTGAGACAAGTCAGAGGTCAGAGAGCTGAGGTCAGAGGTCACAGGTCAGGGGGAAACACTGGGGTCAGACCTGGAAGGACAGCGGCGTCACAGCTTGCCACACGGTGAAGGCCTGACGGATGGCTCTCTGAGTGTCCTTCTCTCCCACTTTAGGAGTGAAGTTTGAAATACTGCAGAGAGAAAAGAAAAGCTGAGAATAAGAATTAGATGTCCCCATTTTATTATAATTTTGAGAATAAGGGTAATGGTAAAGATAAAGGTGCACTTTATTGATCCCCGTAGGGCAATTCATCCTCTGCATTTGACCCATCCTGATGCCTTCGAAGGCTTACGTCAGAAGCAGTGGTCGCCGTAGTAACAGCGCCCGTGAACCCATCTCCAGATGTTGACGCTCGGCTTGGTCAGGACTACCGGAGCCGGAGGATTAAACCTAGTGTGCATGTTTTTTTTAGTGGTAGGGGAAACCCGAGTACCCAGAGGAAACCTACGCAAGCATGGGGAGAACATGCAAACTCCACTCAGAAAGACCCCGTTCCGACCGGGATTCGAACGCAGAACCTTCTGAACTGAGCCTCAGTCCTGAATCTACAGCCCGTCCGAGGTTTCTCACTTTCTCAGTGATGGATAGAGTTGTTTCTCTGATGCAGGAGGCTCCGAGGACTCCTGCATCCACATTCAACCACATTTATGAACATTTATGAACATTGGTCTCTGCCCCTTATGGACCAATTGTTCTATGTGTTCGTTATTGTTGCAATTCCTGTGTTTGAACAGTTTGATTCTCTGATCTGCTGATGGCAAATCAACAGCTTTGTAAAGTTGTCAAAGATTACTACTGTCGGGATTTAGGGTGATACAGAACGCATTGAATTGAATTGAAACTATCATAGATGTGAAATGAAATAAGGAACCTGTCGTGATGTTGAATTTTTGATTATTTTGATCAGTTTTTATTTAACTATATTTGTTCTCTTGCAGTTTGAGTTTGTTTCCTGTCTCCTGTTGATTGTTTGCCTGATTGTTTCTGATTCACCTGTGTTTCCCTGTGCTTTTCCCACTTGTTGTCCCGTCCAATGTCTATACCACGTTTGTTCCTGGCTTGTTTTCAGCTCTGGATTTTTGCGTTACCTTGTATTTATTTCATTAAACTACACCCTATTTTCAGTTCTGCTTTTTGGGTTTTTTTTATTTTTATTTCACCACACAACAGAACCCAATATGCAGGACTGATAATGAAGTGTAATTTCATTCAATCAAATAATAAAAGGGGAATTTAAAAAAGGTCATTGTGTGGATTTTATTTCTGTATTTGTTTTTATTTTGCCATTAGTTCTCTGAGTTTTCATTTCAGTTTTACTTCCTGTCCTGTTTCCCTGTGTGCCCCGATGTGTTCCACCTGTGCCTCTGTCGTACCTGTGCTCCTCTCCCTTTGTTGCTGGTGCATTGTATTGTCTGGTTCCTGAGTTTTGTTTTTCATGACTAAATCATCATTTTTCCAGCATTCCTGCGTTTTGAGTCCTCCTCCTTCCCACCACCTGTTGTCTAGAGCAAGTGTGGGTGAGGAAATCTCTAACTTTAGATTAATAAAGAAGCAAATATAAATCCTGTTTATTCTAGTGCAGACATATATAGTTGCATGTATTCATCGGTACATGTAAGCAGCACAGGGAGAGTTCTGTATCGTGAGGTCTGTGGTGGGAGGAGCACAGGTACAGTTCTGTGAGGTCAGAGAGCCTGTACCTGTATGAGATCTTCTTCTCTCTCCACTTCTGTCCCGTTAGAGCGTAGCGTTTGTTTCTCTGTTTACGACTTTGATGAGGACGATCTGGGACGCCACAGCGAGGCCTCTGCATCCACCTGCAACACAACATATACAATATACTAGAGACGATTGATGAAACGATTCATCAAATATCTCAAATAATTCAATTACAAAAAATATACAAGGAATTTCCAGCCTAGATGCTTTATATTCAGTAGTTTATTAGCGGCATGTTGCCTTATTTAATAAAAGCTCACGTTATGCACTGATTCTTTTGTGTTACACAACGTGTTTATATCACAGATCTTACGTGCCCTGCGCTACACTGTACCACTTTGCATTGCTAGTGTTTGTAAAACTTCAACAACGGAGAAGTCACTGGACAAGATGTTGTCTAAAGTGAACGAGCACGTTACATTGAACACTGAGAAGTTTGCCATATTGCAAAGTGGAATGGTGGAAGGCAAGTGTTATAATCTACATTATACAACACACACAACATATACTCACTTTCTGGTCCTCTGGTCCAGGACACACACACACACAGACACACAACATATACTCACTCTCTGGTCCTCTGGTCCAGGACACACACAGACACACAACATATACTCACTTTCTGGTCCTCTGGTCCAGGACACACACACACACAGACACACAGACACACAGACACACAACATATACTCACTCTCTGGTCCTCTGGTCCAGGACACACACACACACAGACACACAGACACACAACATATACTCACTCTCTGGTCCTCTGGTCCAGGACACCAGTAACTGGGATGCCATAGAAGCGTTGCATGGCTGCTACAGCAGATTGCATGACCTTCTCCTGCCGCAGGTCTTCGGTCCGAACGTCATGCGGCAGAAGGTATCCGTAGGTTTTCAACCACGTCTGGAACAAACACCAAAATAAACATATTCATAAGGACAGTTCTCTGCAAAGGTGTGATGCAGATGTTTGTGTTGAACAAGTGCCCTGCTGATGTTGGACATGTCATATCCATTTTATTCACTTTGTCAAAGCTGGTGAAGAAACATGTCATCTTTATTTATATAGCGTCTTTCACAGAGTCACAAAGATCTTTAGTTGTTACATTTGTCTCTCACTCCTCACAGAGATGGAGCAGGTCTTCTACAGGAGGCACAGACCTATTTGACCTCTGTAAATGGCTCAATAGGTGTGTGATAAGTGTAATCATAAATCCTCTGTTAAAATCCAATGAACACTTAGTAAAAGTAAAAGAACATGGTCAAAGTCAGAGGACTCACTGACCCCTCCAAGCCAGAATGAGATCACTGCAGGTCAGACGCAGGCAGATGAAAGCAGCACTTGTGCTGCAGTCATTGACAATCCCACAAGTAGCAACGAAGACGAGACACTTCTACCAATGACAACAGCCGTGTTAGCATGAGTGGCCAGTATGTTGGTCCCTGGCACAAGACCAGTGTTTCTCCAAAAATTATGTTTTTTGTGTTGCATTTTTTATTTATTTCCGTAGCTCTATCTAGCTCAAGCATAAACAAATGCATATAATGGTTATAATATTTTCTATAAGATTGTCTGTTGACAGTTGTAAATAAAACTTGAAAAAAGAGTGCATTCCCTTGCATGCAAAACATAGAAAATTCCCCTGGGCAAAAAAAAAAGTACCAGCAGCTCTTTTGGGCCACTTAAAGCACTGTGTGCACTCAGCACACTCTTTTGGCTTATGTCATTATAGACGCGTATGAAAGTAGGGCTGGGCGATAAAACGATAACGATATATAATCAATATCGATATCGAACGATTCCCATGATATTCAATGGAGACACACACTCACTGGTCATAGGCCTTTACAGTATTACTGTTCCTCCCATCAGGCTGTTGGCAGATGGGGAGTCAGTGCCCCCTCCTTTGTGCAGTGCGACAAGGGCTGTTTGACGCCGCTTACGACTTTAATTATCATTATTAATCCACTGGAGCAATATTTCTCACACTGTTGAAGATGAAACCAGGTGTGTGACATGAACAGGGGGAGGGGAGCGACTCGTGAGCTCATTCATATTTCAGAGTGTGCTCCAGAGTCTCGCGGCCGAGAGCGAGCAGCGTGACGAACACTGAGGACACCGCAAGAACAAGAACACAGTTCATTTATGCTGCTTTTTAGTTATCTCTGAGGACTGCACAACGCTCTCAATTAGCCAACACAGATTAGAGAATCAAACAGTCCAAACACAGGAAACGCAACAATAACAAATACATAGAGACATTATTCAATTGGAGCAGAGACCAATGTTAAGTTTATAAATGTAATAACTGTTTATAAAGGAAAAAATATATGATGCATTTTTTACCGTTATAAATGATTATTAGAAACAAGTATGAAGAGTAAAAACACATTAGATTAGCCTTCACTAATTAGCAGCTAATTTGAGGAGACACAGGTAATAGACACAGAGACACAGGTACATTTACACACAGAGACACAGGTACATATAGACACAGGTACATTTACACACAGAGACACAGGTACATATAGACACAGGTACATACATGTATAGACACAGGTACATATAGACACGGAGACACAGATACAGTACATACTGTATAGACACAGTAACACAGGCAAATAATAGACACAGAGACACAGGTACAAAAAGACACGGAGACACAGGTACATATAGACACGGAGACACAGGTACATATAGACACAGAGACAGACGTACATATAGACACAGGTACATATAGACACAGAGACAGACGTACATATAGACACAGGTACATATAGACAGAAGGAATGAATGAATAAAATACGATGTCATTGATACTAACTAATGTTTGCTTACAAGGACAGCAGTAAACATGAGTCAGCCATGTTTTATTACGCCCTAAATGGATCCGGGGCCCTGTGACAAATGTCTGTGTAGAATCTAATGAAAAGCTGTGTGTCTTTGCTGCGGTTCGAAGACACATAAATCTGTTCTCAGTAATGAATGTTTTATTCAGACGCAAAATGAAAACAGCCAATTATGTTTATCTACAGTCTGTTTATGATGAAATATGTTCCAACTCACTTCTATATGAAACCAGTGAGAGGGAGCAGAGAGAGAACGGAGAGACCAGAGAGAGACCAGAGAGAGACCAGAGAGAGACCAGAGAGAGACCAGAGAGAGACCTGAAAGAACAGAGAGAGACCAGAGAGAGCATTCTCATTTATTAAAAATATGTTTATATAAAATGTGCCACAGGGCGCGCTGAGAGAGGGATAACCGGCCCGGAGGGTGAATGCAGCAATGGTTTCATATTTATAATTCCCTGCTAAACTAAACCTTCTCACTTATTGAGAGAACAGCCGTTTACACGGTTTAATGTTTTTTTTAACAGAATTATCTTTCAGTTGGAGGCAGGTGTCAACCGGTGGGGGCAGGTCCTAGCTCAAAAATGTTCATGACCATGTCATGCTTGCAATCCCACTCCTGGGGGTGGACCCAGAATAAGAATTACCCAATGCTTTTGTAGGCCGTCTTCGTTCCTCTCAAAAACGGCTTTACAGGATGGTCCAAAAGTCAGCTCTTGGCCCAATGCTATGATCCAGATGTGTGTCAATGCTGAGGGGAGTCAGGTCTGTGATCTCACACAGTGAGAGGAACAAAGCTGTTCTTCTCATACAGTGGTTTTCTGCCAAATGTCAAACCTTCAAAATCAGAAACTCACTGTTGAATTTCTAGTTTACGACATCAGATTGTATGGCATGTGGCAGATGAGGCCATAACACTCTCTGGGTTCTCAACCATCCACTACGATAATCTGCACTTCAAGAGACAAATCCCTCAAAGTCAGGACTCCCTAATATCTTGGTATTTTGTCCCACTACAAGCGAAACCTGACCTTTACCTCCTCACAAGCGTGTGTGTGTGTGTGTGTGTGTGTGTGTGGGGTGTGTGCGTGCGTGGTGGTGTATATATATATATATGCTATATATATACCATGCTGACCACCCATTCAGCCACAAGCTCAAATATGCAAAAATATAAACTTTTTTCACATCAAAAGTTACATAAAACCAATTAAAGCTCTAATTAGAGGATACAGGATAAATATATATATTATATAAGAACGCCACAAGTATCTCAGCCTCTCACCACATCTGTCTCTGAGTGATGATGTCACTGAGTGATGATGTCACTGAGTGATGATGTCACTGAGTGATGATGTCACTGAGTGATGATGTCATTTCTGTGCAGTCGAACACAAACAAAGAAAAACTGGTGATATAACTCTGACTCCTGATTGGCTGGAGATGATGTCAAGGGAACATCCTCTCATCAAAGAATGTTGTGGTTTTTAACGTTTCTGCAGCAGAATCCATGTGGTAATAATGAAACAAATAAATATTGTTTTGAATCTGTAAAAAAGCAAAGTTTGAAAAGTACATAATTGCGTCGTTGGTGCAAAGACAACAGACAATTCATTGAGAAAGTAGCAGCTTGGTTGCATTTCAAAAACAATTTTTTAACAAAGAGATGAAGGTATTTTCTTCTTCTTTACCAGACTACAGCAAGTTATTGACGTCATTTCCTTGGTCTACCTCAGAAGGAAATAATAACATCACTAAAATCCTATTGTCTGTTGTAGAAGAAGCAAACGCCTTGATATCTAAGACAAGATGAACCTCCCGACGCTCAAGGTAAAAGAACGATATTATTGTCTTTGATGGAAATTAAATATAGAAACAAAGAAGACCGATTTCTTTGTCTTTCTGCAACAGATGACCTCAGCTCTTGCTCTGATGCTGCACAAATGGAGAGAGACAAACTATAGATTTGACTCATTTCCCACAGAGTAACACACAACATATACAGTAACACAGTGCACTGGTTATACTCTATGGCAGGTTATTAAAGTGATGGTTCCACATGTGAACGGTTCTTTGTGACGATGACACAGGTGTCTCAGCGGCTCTTTGTCTGAATGAACGTCTCACAAGCAACAAAAACATCGCTGCAGAGAGAAAGAGAGAGAGACTGATGCTTTTATCCCATATACAGGACAACAATACCTTTAAACACACACACACCTCCACACACACTACAACACACTGCCTCCATTACATTGCAACTCAGGATCTTTGTCCAGCAGCAGAGATCAACACCACTGTTTTAGCTCATGAGTTTGAGTCCGTGTTTTTTCCAGTGTGTGTCGGTTCTCGTTGGTCTTCAGATCTCTCCTCTGTCTCCGACTCCTGCCGTTTCCATCAATTATAAAACAGGGCTATATTTGGACTGTGGGTAAAAGGGGAGAAGGCTGCTCTTTGTCGTGCACACACAACACAGGTTCATTCAGCTGCTGCTCTGTGGATGTGGATGATGCAGATGTGGATGTTGACATGAATGCAGATCCGTCCTTCTATCGATTGCTTGTTTGCAATAGAATCAAGTTCAAGGTTTTTGTGAACAAACTCTGGTTTTTCACTTAAATAATGGGAATCGACGAATTGTAATTGGTGTTCGAGAGAATAGAAAAGCAGCAACAACACATGGAACTGTCTCAAACAACTGTTTTTTTATATTTTCGTGTTTGGTGCATAATACACTTATATTCAAACCACTATATAAAACCATATTATCATTATTATTATTAGCAGTAGTATATATATATCCAGGCTATAAATGAAACAATAGAGTAAATAAAAGAAGGAAAGAAGCATGATCAGCACTAAACACAACAAGCCCCCATCATTTCACTTCATGTATTCTGTGATTCTGTGTCATGAAACATACATCCTCACCCAGGAACATATGGTGATACTATGCTAGGAAATGTATACTAAAATACACAATGCTATAACAATAATAACAGTATAATACTTTGAGAGCGCCAAACGCAGGACAAATACAACAAAAGCAGTTTAGCGCATGTGTGTAGGTGTATAAGTGTGTATGTATACGTGTATATGTGTATAAGTGTATATATGTGTGTATGTATGTGTGTATGTGTATGTGTGTGTATGTATAAGTGTGTATAAGTGTATATATGTGTGTATGTGTATGTGTGTGTCTGTACATATTGAAAACACTCACTTCCACAATATAAGTCTGCTCCTCTCCGCACACAGACACCACCCAGACCAGGAGGGGGAAGTAGCAATACAATCCGGGGAGTCCTGCTTTCTTCCAGCGTTTGCGTCCACCTCCTCCTCCACCTCCTCCACCTCCTCCACCTCCACCCCCGGCCATAGCTGTGATCCCCCCCAGCTCCTCCGGCTCCTCCGGGTCCTCCGGGTCTCTGCTCTGGTGCGCTCCAGAATCCAAGCTTGTTTTTCACAGAGGAAAGCAGGTGTGCATTGTGCTCCTGCTCTTACTGCTGCTGCTGCTGATACTGCTGATACTGCTGCTGATACTGTCCCTGCTGCTAACCCGTGATCAGACAGGTTGGTTTTACCGATGGTGTGTTTCTACAATAGTAATCCATCTTCCGCATCTCTCCTCTCCTCCTCTCCTCCTCTTGTGTTTGTGATGTCTCTCGCCTGCTCCTGCGCGCTCTCGGCTCACATCATCAGGCGCGTCCCCGTTGCGTGTGCCCGCTCAGAGGTGCGCGCGGCAGATCAGCTGGGGAAGCCTGGCTACAGAGGAGCGCGGCGCAGGTTGGTCAGAGCGACGCGAGAGGAGGTGGAGCTGACTACAACAGCTGTAGCTATCAGTGTGTTGTTTACAATGGTGTAGGTTTGGTTCCAATCTTGGTGGGGACATTCACTACGACCTGAGTCTACACCCATTGACACGGGGTCCAGAGTTTCTCCCCCAGAATTTGTGGTGTAATCACACACTATATTTGTAATAGTGTGTTGCCTTCTATACTAAACTCAGCTGTAGACTGAATGAGAAGCAGTTAAGGATTTTTTCTAATAGTTAAAACAAAATCAATTGGATCAGAGCTTCTGAGTTTTGTGTTGCGTTCATTCTATACTGACTTAAACCTAATCCAAATCTACATAATAGCCCTCACCTGAGGCTCTAACAGTTCAGGAACTGCTCTCGATACTTGAAATAAATCATGCTCTGATCTTTCAATTTCCTATAATAAATAAAAACAGAGGAGAAAATATTGAATTAGAATCTACAGTGAGTAGCTCACTACATTGTTTGACATATACGATCAATCTCTAAAAACGATTCATAGTCCCATGCATACCTACAAAATTCCAACCTCACCTGATGCACTGAAGGGCCTGTTGCTTCTACCTCAACATTCCCTATATTGTTCTCTCTTGTTGGTTGAGTTTCCTATGTATGTTAACAGAAGATTAATCATCACAATTCATAATTTGCTATTACTTGTGCTTTCTCTTACTTACTTTACAATACACTACAATGTCAAAAGTTACATAGTATTTCTCAATACAATGAGTTAACAAGAGTTTGGCAATAAGTAACAGTGTGGATTTTTCTATATTTTCTTTTTTTTTATTCCACTCTCAACCCAAAAAGGCAAGTAATGACTCACAGGGCTCTCAAGTATGCAAAATAAAAACTTAAAAGACCTGTTGTGGTGTGTTTTGCGCACAACCAGCATGCATCGTTAACGCAATGGAAAATTTAGGTATCCGAGCTTTAATTTCGGGAGCGCTGGTTGCGCTTTGGGAAGAGTCAGGGGAGAGACATGTCAGAGACACAGGGGAGAAACGCGGGAGATACGAGGGAGACCCGCACTTGCAACATGGTTCTGTCTGCATATGGTCCGAGCTCGGTACCATGTTAGAGCTGTGCTTTCACTGAGCGCCGCGGCTGTCATTACAAAGCGGCAGCAGCTGCACCAGGACGTGCACATTCGAGTGCATCGCTTGAATGTGCTTAGAGCAAATAACAGAAAGTGTCCGCTGTCACACATTTCACAGAAATTACATTATCAGCAGATAAAGGTTGTAAATCGTGGATCCGTGGAATATTTTCATCCCTAGTTTATCCTGATTCACACAAAACACCCACTTATACATTTTGGATAGTAAGAGCACAATAAGTATTTTCTCAGCCTTTCAACCAACCTGTTTCTTTATTGGAGCCAGTTCTGTTCTGTCTCTGTGCCGTGTGAGCTCCTCGGAACATTAAACAGTGCGCTGACAGATTAGAAATAACGTAAGTACTTTGAATGGTAATAGATCTACAGTACTTTCCTCTGATTACTCACGTGCTACAACGCTCAGGGAACGAAAAAAAAACACTTGCTTCACGCTGGCTAACTTTTAAAAATTAAACAGTTGCTCAGTGCTTCAGTTTGGCGCTGAAGAAGACAGCCAATCACTGCAGAGAACGGAACGGGTCACGTGCTGCTGCTGCTGCTGTTGCTCTGGAGGCGAGGAGGAGGCGCGACGTATGCACAAACGGAAGACATGTGTCCCGGACCGTCCGGGTCCCGGGACATCATGTCATTTTGGTGGGGACTTTTTAGTCCTCACCAAATATTGGTGGGGACATGTCCCCATGGTCCCCACGCAAACCTACGCCCTTGGTTGTTTACAAAGAACAAGTTACAAAGAGATTCAAACCTACAGCACAAGGCAACAGTAAATGTGATAGTCCAGGACATTTAACCACATTTATGGACATTGGTATTTGTCCCTTATGGACCAATGGCTCTATGTGTTTTTCATCATCATTTCCTGTGTTTGAACTGTTTGATTCTCTGATCTGTGTTGGTGAATCGACAGCTTTGGAAAGTCCTCTGAAATAACTCCTATTGGGATTCAGGGTTGTGCAAAATAGATTGAATTAAAAAGTATAGGTATAAAACTAACTATCTGCTGTATTAAGCGTGATACTGTACTCTTGCCTCCCTCCCTCTCAGTTCAACACCTGTTACTCCCGTCATACCGGATCAGCGTTGGCACAGTTTGGAAAGCACCACGCCACGTGGAAACCACACTGACGTCCTCATCTCTGCCCCGAGAATCATCAACCCTCTGAAAGGACAAGGCTCTGATATGTTTCTGTTTAAACCAGGGGTCTCAAACATAGAGCTCTAGTTACCGGGGGCTCGTGGCCCCATTTTATAATTTGGAAATTGAGGTGATAAACTTTGAGAATAACATGCAGCTCAAGTCTCAGCAGAGTTCTGGCCTTTTCTAGAGCCTTTTGGATCATATGACTCTAAGAATCTTACTGAGTTGCTCTGTATGTGTCTCTGTTTGGGGCCAACTGCCTTTGTGATCAGCTCTTTCTGACATGGAACTGATCAAACGGACGAGACCGACTGATCGACACTAATGCATGCGGTGCAGCCATAGTCCTAGATCTACAGCTTCAGTCCTGGATCTACAGCCTCAATCCTGGATCTACAGTCTCAGTCCTGGATCTACAGTCTCAGTCCTGGATCTACAGTCTCAGTCCTGGATCTACAGCCTCAGTCCTGGATCTACAGCCTTAGTCCTGGATCTACAGTCTCAGTCCTGGATCTACAGACTCAGTCCTGGATCTACGGTCTGCAGTCCTGGATCTACAGCCTCAGTCCTGGATCTACAGCCTCAGTCCTGGATCTACAGTCTCAGTCCTGGATCTACAGTCTCAGTCCTGGATCTACAGCCTTAGTCCTGGATCTACAGTCTCAGTCCTGGATCTACAGCCTCAGTCCTGGATCTACGGTCTGCAGTCCTGGATCTACAGTCTCAGTCCTGGATCTACAGCCTCAGTTCTGGATCTACGGTCTGCAGTCCTGGATCTACAGTCTCAGTCCTGGATCTACAGCCTCAGTCCTGGATCTACGGTCTGCAGTCCTGGATCTACAGTCTCAGTCTTGGATCTACAGCTTCATCTGTCCGTGGAAGCAGATCCCTCTCTCAATATGGGCCTCCCTGAGGTTTCTCACCTTTCCCACACCTATTACTTAGAGTTGTTCTTCAGACGCAGGAGGGTCAAACACAAGGACAGTGGTGATGATCCAGGACACTCACACATTTATCAACATTTATGAACATTTGTTCTTTGTTTGTGAATTAGTTTGGATATTGATGTTGCATGTATCTCACTGTGACGTGTACTCTGTTTCTAAACCCTTACAGAAACATAGCTATTTCTGATTAAATAAACTATCTCACAGAGTAAAGAGCCCTGGTGTAAATGAGGAACAGCTGCTTTAAAACTCGCCCCTCTGAAATACACTGTTGTCTGTTCTTTATCTGCACAAAAAGACGTCTACACACATGCAGCTGGCTCCAAACCTGCTTCGTACTCACAAACATAACAACAGGACAATTTACCACCAGCTCGCTGCACCTGGATCTGCGATTATAGAAGGAAACATGGTCCTGACTCTGTTCATGTCACAAACAACACAGTCTAAGTCTAGAAACATATAGAATGTATGTGTTCATTTAGATGTGTTTCTGCTCTGGAAATCTGCAATTCTCCAACAGGGATACTTATCTATTTATGATCTATCTTTCTATTTATCATTTATCTATCTATCCATCCATGTTTGAGAATATTTAGTATTTTGTTGTTTTTGGATCTCTTCTTTTTCATCTCCACCTCCTCGTTCTGTCCTCATCAGCTGTCCGCCTACACCTCCTTCCCACTCATCATCTGTCTCTCAAAAACAGCTCTTCTCCTCGAACCTTTTGTCTTTGCCCAAAACTGCACACTGTCTGCTTTAGAGTCTTAGCTCTATGTTAGAGTCTCCCATCTCTGGTTTGGTTTCAGAGCCAGCCGGAGCCAGTTCACACCTCCCTCCTCCTTCTGTGCTGTGAAAACGGATTCTTCTTTCTGGGTTATGACCCACATTCCTGCAGATCCAGGTCCCAGTCCGTGTCTGGGTCTTCTGCTCCTGCGCCATCAGGGCCCGTGGTAGAGAGGTTATCAAACATGTGAAGTGTTTGCCTAACATTATCAGATGGCAACCATGTGGGATACAAGAATCAAATATATATGTATTCTATTATATTTGGGGCAACAGTGGCTCTTGGCATTGGCCTTTGAGCCTGAAGGTTGTGGGTTTGAGCCCACCACAAGATTTTCTCCACCGACTCCTATTGATGTCTGCTGTTGTTGTGTCCTTGGGCAAGACACTTAACCCCACTTTGCCTGAAGCCTTTTCTGAAAGATCAAGGCTATGTTGTCACCAACAGATCAGCCATCCTCCTGTGAACTCACCAGGATCAGTGAGGGGCTGGTGCTCTGTGAATTGGGTGGTATCTCTGACTGCGACCCCCAACCCTGAAATGGATTAAGCGGAAGAAAAATAATGCATGCATATCTGTACAATCAAACACTTCTCACATTGAATTATCCCCTCACTCTTTACACTGTGGTGATAAACTGCACTGGAGCCACAGTTGCCCTGGAGCAGAAGCTCTCACAACAGGCGTGATCTCAAAGAACTTTACTGTCCATTCACCAGCACATATAACAGTTCAAACACAATGCCATGAAACGCGCATAATATTGCATCTTAAATACTCAAACTGAAATAGTGTTTTGTTTTTATCCTCTGCATCGCAAGATCAGCAGGAAAATACATCTGCTCCAAAGGTATTTGTCTGTAAGTGTTGTTCTTTTCTGGTAGAAGACGGCTGAGGCTGAAGTAGAAGCAGGTACTTCGTGGACAATAGTTAATTTTACACAAGGACAGACTCATTATTCAGAGTTTGTTGAAGACAAAGATGTGGAACACAACAAGAAAATGGATGGATGGATGGACATTAATTTTGAATAACAGTAACAAGTAACACATCATGGCATTTATTGTGTGTGTATGTCTTTTTAAGACATACACTGACTGTAGCCTTTGCTCTGTGAAGTATGTCTCTGTGAAGATGCAGGACTCTAAGTTCAGTATACAGTTTTTCCCAGAGAGAGGACTCAGAGATGTCCCTGAACTTCACACATGGAGCACAGGGCTCTTACCCATCAGCACCGCCAGGGGGCAACATTTCAGAAACTGGTGGTGTCGTCGTCATCGTCGGTCACCATGGTCACTGTCCCTGAACACAAGGCATGTACACAAACGTACGCACACACACACACACACACACACACACACACACACACACACACACACACACACACACACACACACACACACACACACACACACACACACACACACACACACACACACACACACACACTCACACGCACAAACGCACACAGGCTTTTATGTATTGTTGTGATTACCGTGTGGCCAACTACAGAGAGATTACACTCCATGTGAGAGGAAAATTTTCAACAACAACAACAGTGAGTGTTAGTGTTTGTGACTGTGGGCCAGATGGAAAGTAGCTTCTTAGCTACAATCTGTTGCATTTACAGCTGCTGCTGCTGCTGTTCATGAATATGCACTGTCCAAAATAGTACAAATACAAAAGAAGAAAAACATGTGCGCGCTTCATCTGATGGCCACCAGAGGGAGCTGCTGTGACGCGAGTGACCGCGAGGTTCAGTGGAAAACAACAGTGAAACAGGTTTAACACAAAGACAAAGGAAACACACATGTTTACCTCAACACTGATGGAGACACAAACACGTGAGAAGTGTCTGGCCAGGAAGTACCATCACGTTAGTCCTCCTGGTCTCAGGTCTCTGCTTCCTGTGGCTCAGAGAATAGACTTCAAAGCAACTCTGCTCTCCATGGCCTCTCACCAAAGAACTAATGAAGAGCACAGGGACTGGCCTTCTGCTGGGACTCTGAGGAGCACAGGGACTGGCCTCCTGCTGGGACTCTTGAGGAACACAGGGACTGGCCTCCTGCTGGTCCCAGAGTCAGGACTAAACATGGAGAGGCTGCATTTCAGATTCATGCAGCTAAAATCTGGAACAGTCGTCCTGAAAATATGAGACAGGCTTCTTCTCTGACAATGTTCAAATCCAGGTTAAAACAGTTCTGCTTAGCTGTGCTACAACTGAGCTATTTTGTCCTTACTCTTTTTCATAAGGATTACAAGATAAGAGAGTGGAGAAATGTAATATTTTGCAGGGCACATCAAATATATGAAATAAGTAGTTGCTATGTTTCTTAGCGAACTGCAAATGCTTCAATGACAGTCTTTCTAAATATACAGTGCAAAGTCATACGTTGGTCAGGATAATAAAGACTTCAAATGGACAGTCTGAAGATGCAGTATTGCACATTGCACATGATTGCAGTATTTACATATTGATGAATGTGATTATTTATGATTTTAATGTCTTGTGTGATTCTTTCTTTCTTGTTTTGTTCAGCACTTTGAGTTACCTTGTGTATGAACTGTACTGTACAAATAAACTTGCCTTGCCATAAGACTGAGGGGAGACTGGAGCAGACAAACACAGTCTGTTGTGATGGATGTGACAGCTGTGGTCAGCGCTTCAACCACACATCATCACAAACGTCACACGAGGCAAACGGCAAACTATTCAGGACTGTGCTTGATTCAGGACTTTTTCAGAACAATCACAATCTCAACATTTATTTAAATATTTCAGGTTATATTTCCTGTCCTGGGCTTTTACTGGAAATAATGACATTGTCAGAGTAATAGACAGAGCAAAGGTGCGGCTTTACGAACCTTATCAACCTCGAGGACTTTGAAGATAATTGCTCAGATCTGTCATCACCAATAAACACACCTCAATGTTTACAGATGATCCATCAATCAAACTGTCTCACTCTGCTTCAGAATGTCACACAACACCCTCTGCTTCACGGCAAGTTTTTTTTGTATAGCTCAGTTACTACACAACTCAAAGTGCTGAACCAAACAAGATGGAAAGAATCACACAAGCCATTGACATCAGAAATCATAAGCTGAAGCTGAAGCACTGCCTCTCCATGTTTAAATTTGACTCTGGGACCAGCAAGACATTACCCTTCACACTCTGCTTCAGAACATTCCACTTTTATAAATTCAGATCATGTATTTTTTGTATTTTTGTTATTGTTTATGTGTGAAATCCCTGTCATTACTAAATACTTGGGAGGCGTGTGATTGGCTCAGAGCGTGATCATGAGTCAGAGATGTTTTAAGCAAAGCAGAAGCAGGAGACACATGCG